TTTTGTTGTCCAGATTATTAACAAAATCATTGAATGCGCATGGGTTATACTAGTTTTTTCCCATTTGGGTCAGGATATAGCTTAATTTAGAATCGAACAAAACATATTCCCAGTTTTGAAACAAATCCTGATCAGCAGAGTTTAATTTGATATATATTTTGTCTTTTTTCTTTCTTTTTTTTTTTTTACAACTATTTAATCACATTTTTCTAACTAAAAGTACATCATATCTCCTTGTTCTGACGGAGATTGTCAGGTAACATGGCGCCAAAAGCCTGTACGTCAGTTCATAATTATTTTTTTTAATTATGCTTCTGTTTTTCCCAAAACTTGCATGAATTTTCAAAGGTAATTCCAAAGGACTGGAGATTGAGTAAGATCCATTAGTGTGTCTTAAATATAACGTATCTTAACATTTCTAGAAAGTACCTAGCTCAGTCTTCCCTATTCTTAGCTACACCCCCATCTCCTTGTTAAAATTTAGTCATGTAAAATGATTAAAATTTACAGTATGGTTGCAGTTTTAATTTTTTGAAAGCTAAGCACTATATGATTTTTTTTTCCATTTTAGGAGGTATATGTATTTTCTAAAATAATCTTTCCTATATTTAAAAGCCTTTTTTTTAATTCCTCTTAATTGTCTGTTCTTTCTTAACTTCTAAAAATGGAAAGAAGAATTGCACAAGGTTGTTCAAGATTGCTGTTGCGTGGTGCTTCTTTTTCATGGGGAAATTGTGCCATTAGTATCAGCTTTCAGTTTTATTGCATTCCTCTTTCCTTCACTTGATTGCTTGAAATCAAACCTCACACCATGTCCCTTAATTTATTAAGTTTGCATTTTTTTTGGTAGTTGTCTTTCTTGTCTTTTTAGAATAGTGAGCTCCCAGCATGTTTACGTCCCCCCCCATATTCTTATAAGTTTTGTGTTCTTAGTTGACTGTAGCTTTAAGAACCGAATTCAAGACAGTAGATGCCTGCAACTTCATACCGCTTTTGAAGCCACAGTTGTTTTTAAGTTCTCACTATGGGATTGGCTTAACTATTACACAGTGCCTTAAATTGTGATTAAAATGTTAATCTACTCAAGTGCTGAACGTGTATAGGGGATAACATGCACCCGAGTGATGCTCAGACATCAAAGATGTCTCAAAGATGTTGTTATATCTCAGAGATGCTCTATCTCATCTCAGAGATGCTCTGTCTCATCTCAGAGATGCTGTCTCATCTCAAAGATGCTGTATCTCAAGATTGATAATGACAATGTAGGTGGATGCCAGTTGAAGTTTGAGTTCCTCAAGTTGTTTTATACTTGCTTACTTTTTCTCCCTGTCTAAAACTGGCACTCATGCTCCCATGGTGCCATTTCTTAATATGTCTGTAATCAGTGTAAATGAAGAGAAACACCAGTATGATATTTGATAATATCTGGGAGGTGTGTAAATAGAAATGCCCAATTCTGCTGATCTTTCAGAAGGTTAAGTTAGTGTATGAAAATAACAGTTCATGTAAGTTTATAATATTTTACAATGTGTAACTTTATCAACTGATATACTGAACTGATGATAGAAACAGCAACTTGCTAAATGTTAAGCAGGGAGAGTTTAGTAATAAATGAAACTTTAGAATCCTCTCATGCTATAAACCAGTGTATGTTGAACATGCCCATACTATTTTTATATATATATTTATTTATACTGGGGCTGATGGAGCTATGCAGGTGCTTTAAGATGTTTTTGACTCTGACATGTGGAGAACCTTTCAAAGATGAGTTTTTTAGTTCAGGACTTAAGAATTATAGAAACCAAAATAGTTTATGGTTAAAGTGTGCTATGTGTCACAAGGTAATTCAATAACTTGCAAAATACTATAAAGCAATAGCAGATTTTTATAGAAAAAGACATTTTGATCTTACTCTGGAGCACAGGAGCTTTGCCCACTTGTGTTTTGAATGTTAATGGAAATCCAAGTCTAAATGTCTGTTTTACAAAGGCCTGTGTTGCTGCTGGCTTGCAAAGCATTTTTTCCATCCTCACGTGAAGTACTCCAAAAAACTTTAAAGTAGCTTTTTTTAATGGTGTAAGAGTGGATGATACCGTTTTCTTATCTGTATCTTTAAGAAAAAATAAACTTGCAATCAATAGTTTCATTCTTAGAGCGGTACAATGGCTTGCTCACAGTTGAGAATTGCTCTTTATGTGTTATTAACGAGTTCAATTTGTAGACATCTCATTTGGTTGTTACATCCAAGAAGACTTAAGATTTAGCATCTTACGTTGTACTGCTGACTTTTCCTTAAATTAGTCTAATGATTTCTGTTTTAGGGAAAGTACCCTGTCTGGTTATAGGGTGAGGTAGAAGAAGAGGAAAAGGAAGCAAGAAAGCATCAGGGAAAAAGATACCCTTGGAAATACTTGTAGTGACATGACATTACTAGTAACCAAAAAAAAGTTTGATGGCATTGATCTGCTGAGCTGCTTATCACTAAAAGTGGTGTTTCAGTTTCTTGGATTCCTTCCTGATTTCTCTGATTTTAGCCACCTATTCTTACTCCATTTATTTTCCTGGTTCACTGTGGTGTTTTTTGGACATCATGAGCTGTTTCCACTGCAGTCTAATGGAACAGTACTTGTTAGATTTTGCCAAAGTGGCTGAATTGGTATTGTGCCAGGCTAGTGAGTTAAAATAGCTCAGAAGAGGGGTCTGAATAAAATAGAGGCTAGTGCAATGGAGTGGTTGAGAGCCTGCATCTAGGAGGAGTTACCAGTGATACTGAGGGGATCTCTCCTTTTCTTACTCAGTTCTTTCTTTCTTGTCCTTTCCCTAGTCAAATAAAATGCAGATTATTTGCTAGACTCTGAACAGTTCTTCAGAAAGGAACTTGAGATCGGGCAATGTAAAATTTGCCTGCTTGAAAAAGGTAGTGCCTTTCTCAAGGCAGTGGTAGTGACATTCGTCATTACTAAAGGATTTTTTTAATGCCTTCAGAAATCAGACATCTCCTGTTTAACTGTTCTCCCAGCCCTATTATGGAACAGACTCTGATTCAGGCTGGTTTTATTTAAAGAATTTTGCTCCTAGAACTGATGGACTGCTCAGTTATCAAATCATTATTTCAAACAGCAGGGAAAAAAGTGGTGTTTGGGCTACTTCCTACTCACAAGAGGCAACCAGATGGTAAACCACCAGTCTGATTTTCCCACCACGATGATACACACCCACCTTATGTTTTTTCTGTCATTTAGCAGCTTGCTGCCAATGCTGCTGAAGTAGTGAATTGCCAGCAAGCTTTTTCTCCTCTATTAGACTTCCACTCCTAAGGCCTTAAACTAGGACTATCTTTTGGTGAGAAACTAGCCAGCAGTTTTCACACCTGTGAAAAAGCTCCAGGATGGGAGTTGGTTTGTAGAGGATGCCAGCTCTCCTCGCTTTTAGGCTGCTGTCTCAATGAAATGTGCATAAGACTCCTGGAGCGTGTGTAGCAGCAGGGAATACAACAGCTATTTGTTTGGGGAGGTTTTTAACTAGTCTAGGAAGTTTCCAGGAATTTCACTGAAGAGCTGTCTAGAGCCAGAGATGAGGAAGGGCAGCTTCTTCAGAAGCTGCTGAACCTTCTTTTTGCCTCCAGCATGTATAACTTGCTTTGTATAGTGTTCTGGAGGAGCGTAGTCTGAGTTATTTTGTGAAGCTGTAAGGACAATTGAGAAGACACTTCAAAAAATGCTGGTGTGTAATGATAATTTTACCTGCACAGGTCGTTCACAATTCTGCTATGGCAGATATGCTATTTTCTTATTCTTATGCATGTCAACTTGTTCTTTAAAGGAAGCAATAAAATGGGCAAGCTTTTATTGTTTAGATAGAAATAAGAACACTTTTTCATTATGCTTCTTGTTGTCAGACATTATTTTGAGAAAATAAATATTTATCATGGAATGGTTTGGGTTGGAAGGGACCTCTAAGCCCATCCAGCTCCAACCCCCTGCCATGGGCAGGGACACCTTCCACTAGAGCAGCTTGCTTGAAGCCCCTGTGTCCAACCTGGCCTTGAACACTGCCAGGGATGGGGCAGCCACAGCTTCTCTGGGCACCCTGTGCCAGCGCCTCAGCACCCTCACAGGGAAGAATTCCTTCCTAATGTCTCATCTCAATCTCCCCTCTGTCAGGTTAAAGCCATTCCCCCTTGTCCTGTCCCTACAGGCCCTTGTCAAAAGCCCCTCTTCATATTTCTTGTCACCCCTTTAGGCACTGGGAGCTGCTCTAAGGTGTCCCTGGAGCCTTCTCTTCTCCAGACTGAGCAAGCTCAGCTCTCTCAGCCTGTCTGCAGAGCAGAGGTGCTCCAGTCCTTAGAGCATCTTTGTGGCCTCCCCTGATCTGGCTCCAGCAGGTCTATATCCTCCTTATGTAGGGGACCCCCGAGTTGGATGCAGTACCATAGAGAAATCCAGTGTTGATGTTTGGTTTACATTGCATTATGGCAGCTTCACACTCGTTAATATAAGTCCTGAAGAATGAGGAATGATCCTGTTGTTCTGTAAGCTGTTGTTGTCTAAAACTCTGGGTTCTGTAGTAACTTTTTTAACCAAAAAAACAATTTGTTGTGCTGTGGAAGAGATGTCTGTGGCTGTTGTTGGAGTGATTTTTGCAGAAGCATCTGAGATCTTTTGAGAAGCTGTAACAGGACAGTAGGCCTTTAAAGCACTTTGTGATTTAAAAAGTTTTTATTTTTGTGGGAATGGCATTTGAACCATTTAACTTGAGGTGAATCCAGCTGAAAATCTCAGAGACAGAGTTGTCACTGTGAGAAAATGTAGATGACTGTGTATTTTTTAAGTAGAAAGACACTGAAATGAATCACCTGTATTTGTTTATATAGCAATATGGAATGTTTTTGAGGAACTGTTCATCAGCAAGAGGTGCATTATCTGTTTGACATTATGTGCTTGTAGTTGCAAAATGACTCACAGAAGTGTACTCTTTTTGTTTTTCTGTTTTTATTTAAGTAGAAACACTGTGCACCAAATACGGTTCCTTACGGTTGCACCTCAGCAGGAGGGAAGTGTTAAAGAAGAACCAGTTTCAGAAGTTCCAACCCGGCGGACATGGCAGTTTGACTGGGCATTCAACAAACTGGATAACTCTGTCAGAAAAACTGGCCGCATCCCTAAGAGTCTCCTACTAAAAGTCTTTGATGAAATTTGCAAAACAGGTGAGTTGCTTCCATTTAAAACCAAAGGAAAGCTAAGCTGAAGCTGCAGTATAACAGTATGTCAAACCAAGGAAATTAATTGAAAGAGTTCTCATTTATATTTTTGTCTGTAAGCATTATTTAATCTGCTACATACGTTGATGCACAGACATAAAATGCCTTAGAGAGTATTTTACTTTGAATGCACACGTTTACTTCTTTTTTCTTTGCCTGTGAATTTTTAAGTCTTATAAAACTTCAGCGTACTTTTAAGGTGTCTGATTGTACTGCCTTGCTTATTGTAGATTTTTAACCTGGTAATGTTACGCTTTCCTCATATAACTGTTTTGGGCTTTCCAAACAGGGATCTTATCTCCCTTTTATACAGGATATATTTTTTAAATGTCTGTAATAAACCATGCTATCCTTAAGAGGTTATTTGTTTTAAACTGAAACTGTAACAGGGAAATGTCGAGGTGATCCCCAAGTTTCCCCATTCCCAGGTAGTTGTGATACTCAGGACAAGAAAGTTTTGTTTTTTAAGTAAACCAAAAATAAGCAGCTGAGGCATTGTTAATTCTGACATATTTGGGACTTTTTTGGCTCAAGATAGACTACATCAATATTTTGAGAACCAGGTACCACAATTTGGTACCAGTTAGGATTAATCAGTGGAGATATTTGCTAAATATACTGAGTACTACTGCTAATATTTATCAGTGATAGCATGTATTGTTTTGTATTAATTTTAAACTTTGCTCTGGACTGCTAATCCCTTACATACCTGGGATTGTGCTTTTAAGTCTTGTGGTTTACTATTCAAAAGCTGTCTTCACTTCATGCTCTCTTTCTTTTGAGCTTTTTAGTGTTTTCCCTTATAGTATTCTTCCCGATTCTGACAGCTTTTTGACTTTTTTAGGTATAAGCTTATAATTTGTGAGTGTGGATTCGCAACAATTTTGTGTCTCTAAGGTTATTTGCAAATCACAGTTCTTTATGATCTTTGATTAGTTACACAGTTTTTAGGAATGTGGATTAAGAAAAGATCAACTGCTTGCAGTGGTTTCCTTGGGTTGTGTAAGTATAGTTAAAAGTGTAGAACTTCACAAGAGATTTAACTAGGATGCTATAAGAATAAATTACATATTTCCAGATGAAAAATTTAGTCTTTTGTTATTAATAATGTTGAAAACTAATCTAGCAGAAGTGTGGGAGGTTAGTAACTCTTGTTTTCTTAAAAAGACTTGCCTGCCTTTGTGTTGTTTTTCCATTTCTAACTGCAACACAGAAAATGCCCAAAGGTGCTTCCTGTATGTGTAGTTGTGCATCTTTCCATAGTCATACTGCCAAACCTTTTCCTGTTTCTTCTGCCTTTCACAGTACTCTGTCACTAGCATAACACTGGTGGTGTGAAACTGGAGATGTGTTGGTGTTTTTATTACATGAACCAATCGTATGCAGGGATTAAAAAGTCTTAAAAATGTCAGTCTTAAATTATGCCGTAAACTATGATTTCTCTCACCCCTCCATTATGTCGTAGGAAGTTCAAATCCCCATTTGCAGTTTGAACCTGCCCTCTCTGTGTTTTAAGTTACTTGTTTTCTTTCCTCATTATTGCTTATTTTTTTCCCCACTACTGTTTGTGTTTCTTCCTGCATGAGTTTACACAGTATCAACAAACTTTCTGCTGTAGATTGTGCTCTTGCATGTAGTTTACAATAGTTATGTGGTATCTTAGATTTGCTGGTCCTTTTTGGTACCTGGAGATCTAATTCTAGATGGTGTATAGCTTTTCTGGTGTCGATGGGTTTTGATTTTATTTTGCTGTTATTTTATAGCTGTTTCTACAGCTCTCTGTAATTAAAAATTAAAAATAGAGCAATCAGCAGCAGCTGGAGATCTCTACTGGCAACAGCTTCTGCCTCTGTGCTGAGCTGTACACAACTTTGGAGTGTTGGCATGATGATTTAGAAGTAACTTGTAAGACGTGAATGATGCTCTGGACTTCAAGTAATATTGGCAGTCTCGGTATTTCAAGTCTGCCTGTACATCTCTGAGATAGAAAACCTTATGCATTTTTTCATCATTTATGTTGATGCAAACATTTGTGTTGCTTCTTGTTAAATGAAATTACTTTTGCAATGTAACATTCTCTTTGATAGGAAACAAATAGGCAATATTTTTTGTCCCCTTCCCCCCTCTTTTTTAGCACTGTGATGCTTTCTGAGGAAACTCAATTTTATTTGAAATGTTTGGGTTTGCTTATGAAGATGAGATTGAAAAACAATTTGTCTCCAGATTATTGTGTAATCTGTGATACATGTGGCAGCTCTGCCTTCCTTTGCCTCAGGAGTAGTAGTAAAGTCCAAGAAAGGCAAATGAATTTATAGTTACTTTTTCAATATTCTGGTGGTAGTGCAGAAGTCGGAGATGATAAATATTCCTACAGGTTCCTTCACTGTTCTCTAGATGTGAACTGTCCCATTTATTTTATATTGGGCATGAGCAGAAGTGGAAATACAAATTTCAATGTGGAATGTCTCTGAATACCAGTTTTGTGGTAGTATGGAAGTGGTATGAATTATTCTGCTGTTTTAGAAATTGACCAGAAAGTTAAGTCCCTGTTAGGATAAAATGATCTACAGGACTTAGATTGGGAAATTAAAATACCAGATCACCCAAGTTTAGTATTTTGTGTTACGTGTTTTAAAATTTCTGCTAAGCAGAGCTCATTACTGTACTAAATGGTATGTCTTATTGTGAATCTTTTTTATGATAGTGCATAATAGCATCATCATTGTTTAATCATTTGGGTATCCTGATTTGTAAAAATCTTCAATTGTGGAGAAGATGCTGTTCTCTACAAAATGCTTACATATTTCAGTGGGTCTATTTAGAATCTTATTTTCTAATATTAAATGCATAATTATTTATAAAGAAATTTGTCATTGTGTTCCACTTGCAGGGAGTCCAGGGAGTAACCAGACCTTGCTTTTGTTGAGAAGTTGTGGTGCTCTTTTACCAGAGGTATTGTCACCTGAAAGAACAGAACTAGCCCATGTGATATGGGACAAGATGAAAGAACTGGGTAGGTTGGTTTTGTTAGTCCCTCTTCCAAGAAGAGCTGTGAGCTTCAGTTACTTTCTTTGTAACAGAAGACTGAATGTATTTTAATAATGTTTAAATGTAAGGTTGTAACAGCAAATACACATAACCGAATAATCACTAGGTTTTAATATTCAGGTGAGAGACCTATTTCCTATTCTGGGAGTTATACTGACATCTAGGGGTGTTAATAATAAATCTGAAGATTTTTCTTGTAAGATGTTTAAAATGGACTTTTGCTTCACTTTTATTACTGTAAGAATGCATTTTACTTTTCTTGATGTCAGATGTTACTGTGTTATCTGTTGAGCTGAATACACCTAGTGCTACCAGCTAGTTTATCAGGTGATATTTTAATTATTTGTGTATAGCTGATGAGTAGGTGAACTGCTTCTTGATAGTAATATTGGTGAATCTGTATAATAAATACAGCTGCAGAGACCGAAATAACATGCACACAAGCATTCATGTTACTGTGCTCTTATGTTTTAGCCTTTATAAGCGTATGTGCTGTTAAATATATGTCTGATATTTTAAAGGTGGATAAAAGGAAGCAGTCTCATTGGACATAAAGATCATACAGAATAAAATTGATATGAAATTAAATACCTGAGAAAGCTATAAAATAATGTTGAATTTAGAGAATCTGCATTCACTGACGGTGGTTGAAATATTTCCTTAGGTGCTGTGTATGATACAAGCCATTATAATGCTTTGCTTAAAGTCTACCTTCAGAATGAGCACAAATTTTCTCCAACTGAATTCTTGGCCAGAATGGAGGAAGCCAATGTGCAGCCCAATCGAGTAAGTACACCTTTATGATACCTTCATTCTTAATAGCAGTATCCATTTGTTGGATAGAAATCATTAACTTGCCCTTTCTGTTTTCTGTAGGTTACATACCAAAGGTTGATTGCTGCTTATTGCGATGAGGGTGACATTGAAGGAGCAAGGTATTCTTTTGTGTTTATGTTTAAAGGGATTTTCACAAAATCTGTATCTTGTATTCCCTACTGTTAATGTTAACGCTCGTTTCAGTGTAATTCTTATAAATCGAGCAAAGCGAAGAGGGGGTTTAAGTATATTTTACCCAAGTACTGAAGAGCAGCTTCTTGGAGACAGCAGGAATCTACACAAGCAAAATAAAAAATAAGTGCTAGACCAGTGTGATCAAATCAAGTTGTATTCAGGTTGCTCAGAAAATAACTTTCTTTGTCATTTCTAGAGCCAGCATGAAAAAGCCTAATGTTATGAAGGCTTACTGCCTATGTAAGAAAGTGGCTATTGGGAAATGCATTGGACAACAAAGAGGGCTAAGGAGCAAATAGCAGTAATTCTGGTTGTTGTGTTATTACGCAGGGCTTCCTGGATATCTGTCTAACATTTTAATCTTAGCAAGTTTGCATTGCAACAGTGGGAATGCTGGGCATAAGAAATAAGTAAAAGGAAGATAAGATTAGAAAAAATCCCAAAACCAAATAAAAACCAGCCCCACGCTTGTGTCTGTGTATTTCAAAGTGGCAAATACAAGTTATCTAAAAAAATGAGGGTGACCAAATCATGAGCCTGTTATGCAGTGTCCCCAGATGTAATTGCTCAGTGACATCAAGATTTCATTTCGTTTGATCATGCAGTACTTGTCCAGCAGAGCAGCAATATCTCACTAGTTTACCTTTTCAAAGGGAAAAAAAATCTAATCGTTCATTGTCTTGTATTTTGCAGTCAGATTCTTGGGTTTATGAAGAACAAAGATCTTCCAATCACTGAGGCAGTATTCAGTAGCCTTGTGAAAGGTCATGCAAGATCAGGGTAATGTTTATTATCTTTTTCTTTTGTTTTTTACTACAATATAAAGTGATGCGGTACAGAAAAATTACATGTTACAGAATAGTGTAATGGTTTTGAATAACAGTATGTAGAAGACTGTCTTTTCATTTTTGAAGCAAAACTAACTTCCAACAAAGGAAGTAGATATTTCTTGTCTGAAAATCTTGCATTTCAAGATAAATTACTGTACTTTTGTACTGTTTGAAAAATAAATTTGCTGTGCTTAGTTTGGAACTTTTTCAACTGTAAAGTTGAAAGAGTATTTTAAGTAATACAGTAATTAAAAGATTTGCATTTTCACCTTTCAGGATTTGCTCAGTTAAAGTAAGTTTCTCTAAGCTTGTTGCTGTCTCTGTTTCCAATTCTAATTAATTTAATAAGTAATTGTGGAAGTCACGATAAACTTTATTGTAATTAAATCTACTGAGGGTCTTTCTTCTGAATTCTTTTAGAGATATTAAGAGTGCAGAAAATATCCTTTCTGTGATGAGGATGGCTGGTGTGGAACCAGGTCCAGACACCTATTTATCACTGCTGAATGTGTATGCTGAAAAGGGTGATGCTGACAGCATGAAAAAGGTATTTTAAGTTTGATTTTAAATGATACACTTGATTGATCTCTTGTTCAGTTTAACTTTGGAATGCTTTCTATCCATGCAGGAGGAATAATACTGCATTTTATAACTTGTTTCTTCCTAGTTTGCAGCAATTAAACTTTTTTGGTTATCTGAATAGCTGGAAAACTGAAAGCAGTCTCGTAATTCGTAAAAAATCAGTTTCTTTCTATAGTTGCCTTTTACTCTGAGAAGGTAGATTTGCCAGTGAGTGATTTTATAATTCAGTCTTTTTTTGAAAAGAGGCAAATAATGCATGTGAGAGATATATATTTATTTACGAAAATAAATAAAAAGTACACCTTGATTATTGTGCTCCCATTGAAGCCCCTGAATCTTTCCACTAATACTGATTTTTTGAGAGTTCATACCAAGAGCTTAGGTATTCATGAAGTACAGATAAGATAATGCTGCCTTACAGCCCTTTGTGTACATGATTTTTTTTTTTTCAGTTCTCTCTTCTATTTTTTTTTTAAATCAAAGAACTATTTGGAAAGGAATGCAAAAAGAAAATTGGTTTCAGTTTAATATCGAGTGGAGTGGACTAAATCAAGGAACAGGATGTGGAAAACATCACACTGTTCTGTGACTTACAAATTACATCTTCACCAGCCATCCTCTTTCCAAACATTAACAAAAGATTGATTAATCATTCTCCCCTTTTCAAAGTAATTTCTTTTTGAAAGTCATCTCACAATGAGTCATCTCAGTGAAAGTCATCTGGTTTTTTAATATGTATTAGTAGGGAGAAACTGGTATATCTCCGTTTTACCTGTCTCTTTTTCTTTTTTCCAGTCTAAAGGTGTTTTTGAGGCCCTCTCTATAGATGTTGTGTATTCTCCCTACTGTATTCCATGTATCTAACCCCATGGTTTTAAAAGAAGGAAAAAACCCCACAGCTTTTTTGTGACTTTTATTTTTTATTTATTTTAAATGTATCCTGAATTGGGTCACTTTGGAGTTTATTAATGTTAAATTTATTCTGGTTTACAGACTCTAGAACAGATTGAGAAGACTGAAGGGTACCTTATGGATAGGGTTTTGATGCAGGTGATTTTTAGCCTCGCCAAGGCTGGGTATCCTCAGTACATTGAAGATATCAAAGAACGCATAAGATTTGAGAAGGATTTAATTCCAGGTATGTTCTTGGTTGTTACAACAGTGATTGCTACTCTGGGTGGAAAGGGAAAGCATTTTCCTTTTTTTACCCCAACAATAACTAATGTTATTGAAAACAGGTAATTTTGTACTTTCCTCTTAAGTACTTAGGGAAAATAATACTTTTGCCATTAGTGTACTTTAAATCACAATGTATAAAATCTTCATATAAACCAGTCTTAATTGCTTAAATACGAAAGTTAATCAATTTTGTAACCTTATAAAGATCATTAAGATTTTATAGGAAAGTAGTTAAGTGTGGAATCCTTTCCTCAAACGCTGTTGTAATTTCTGTTGTGACAGCTCTTTGTGAATATCATTAAAAGGGAGACTAAACACTGAGAATAGTTTTCGTTATCCACAGTTAAAGTCACTTTTGGATCCCACTATGCATAATCTGATTGATAACTGTTAATTATATTTCATCCATTTTTCTTTTTTGACATGTCTGGAAATGTGTATCCTTCTGTTATTTGGTATCCTTCTGTCATGCTGCAGTGGTGATACTTCTGTAATTTTTGGCATAGTCTTCTAATGGAAAAAGTGAATTTCATAGATAAATGTAAATCTGGAAAGGGTAGTCTCAAATTTAATTGGTTCATCATGTTTTAAGGTATGCTAATGAAACTTGTAAAGCATTTACTTTGCTAGCTTCCACTAATTTTAGTGATTTAGTATGAAAATAGTTACATGCACTTAATTTTGTTCTTTCTGTTTTTCATTTGCTAGATGCAATGAACCTGTGTTTGACTCTGATAACTCATGGCTTCGAAGATATAAGTTTCCGTATTTTGAAGTCTTTTACCAATTTCTCACGTGATAATGTGGACCAGGGTAGCTTCTTCTTGCAACATTGTGTAAACAGAGATATGGTATGCAGAATAGTAGTATTTTTTTCCCTCATAGACTAATAACAGTGTATTATACAACTGTGAAAATGGTAGATTTTTTTGTACAGTTCTTGAAGAATGAACAAAGGATTTTAGTATTTCATATTAATTTGTATAGTAAGTAGAAATTCACACAGGAATTATATTTGGTATATGTAGTATCTGCTTCCTAAACATTAGAAGAATCTGACATTCTTAACAATTTGAGAAATAGAAAGATAAATAATTATTTTAAATTATTTGCAGCCAATGAACAAGCTGAAGCAGTTTTGTAAGGAGTTACAAGAAGAAAAAATACACTCGGCACCACTGCCATTTGTTTTGCGTTGCGCTTTGGAGGCCAACAAAGCAGGTATTCTGCTTATTTAATTTTTACTTCTGCTGATTTAAAGTACTTGGTCACTAATTATCTTGTGAATGTTTTCAGCCTTAGCCATTGACTTGATGAAGACGATGAAAAAGGAAGGCCTGCCACTCAGACCTCACTATTCCTGGCCGCTGCTGGTTAGGTTCCATAAAGAGAACAATCTTAAAGGTTAGTTATCTGATAAGTGCTCCTCTATATTTACTGCAAACCTGGTGCACAAATCTTTACTAAAACATTGCTTTGAGATTCAGCAGACTCTTGAAAGTAAACGAAGACCTTGCTGCACATCTTACTTTTTTGCAAAGAATTTTTCCTTCTTAATCGTGTTACATAGAGATCTACAAATTTAAAGTCTACTTTTGCATAGAAATATGTGACAGATTTTTAACTCTTCACATTCTTCCTGCCTTCTGCTGGTTCTTTTTGCTGCTTGTTACCTTTTATGGAGCTAACTCTTGCAGCAACTGAAATCTGAGAGAAGAATTTAAAAGTAAGGTAATGTTATAATAGCTCTTTTGGACTGCAAACCCAAACCTTTGTTCAAGCCAGTTTCTTATTTTTGACTTAATAAGGCAAACATGAGTTTTGTTACAATCATAAAAACTGCAGGAGAACTTACATTGCTGAATGTATGAGCCTGACCTGACAGCATACTGATTGAAGGACAAAAATGCTCAATCTTTGGGGTTCTTAAGTAGGTTTAAGCATTTAACATACTTTCCCCTGTTACACATGGGGATGTCTACGGGATATGAATAAGAATTGAACAAATATTAAATTTTAGAGTACAGTATCTAATTCTTCGGTTTGCGTTATCGGTAATTCAGAAAGAATCGTATTGTAAAAAGATGCTTTTAACAGAAGTACTTCCCCCTTGGGGAAACAAAAAACTGTCTTTTTCATCTTATCTCACATTATAATGTGCTTTAGAATGAGATGCAGAGTTGTTAGTGTGACACTGGGTGACAAACAAAATGCACAAACAAAAAAAAAAGTGCTTTTAGCAGACTCTTCATATCGCAATTTTATCTTAAATATATACAGTCACATTCCAGTTTGGAAGAAATGCTGAAACAAGTATTCCCTAATTGTTTCTGGCTATAAAAATGTCTCAAGTCTTTTTCAAAAAGCCTTTATGAAAACAGTATTCAGTTTTTATTAACTCCTTAGGCTCTGTTCCTGCTAGACTACTTCTCAAGTTTGTCTTCTCCCAGATTTTCAAATGCTTCAAAGTTCTGTTCTTGAAGAGAATCAAATGCTTGAAAGTTCCATTCTAGTCAGCATCAAGTGACGTTGTTTTAATTTTGTCCTTTGTGACTGACTCGAAGTCCAACTTTGCCAAAAATAAGTAAATTGAAATCAGTCTCGTACTTCCCTACTGATGAAACACATTTTCTGTTACTCCATGGAAGATTTTACTTCACTAACACAATAATAAGGGAAATCAGAAGTATTTTTAGGTTTAGACTTAGCTCCCAGAGCTGAAGCAGTATCTGACCATCTAGAGAAACTTAAGTTTTCACATCTTTTGAGATCTCTGGCAAGATCAGAGGTTGCCTGTAGAAACTGACTGTGCTTTGCCTAGTAGTTCCTGTTGGAAGTCATGTAAGCAAATGGAGAAGGAAATGATGAAGAAACTGTCAATTCTGGCTTTGCCATTTTCTAGAGAGCCTTTCTTTGTATATGTGCAAAGGCATTGGATACATAAACTTCTGTATGTCTGGATGATAATGCTGTGGATTTGCAAACATGTTTTTGTGACCTGATACTTAGTCTCCAAGTTTGAATTGTGAAATGGGAATGTTACTACTGTGTGCATGCCACCGAAGTCAGTGATTTTGCAATAATACAGAAGAAGATATCTATGCAATTCCTTTTGCAGTGAGGAATCAGTGGAATTATTACTGGTGCAGTGAAGCAAGTTGTTCTTTTCCATGTGTAAGCTCACAACATTCATTTTTTGAAATTTAGTAATAAAAAATGAATACATGAGACCTGCTATCTGAAAATACAACCAATACCTTTGAAGGGAAGTAAATAAGGGGGAAAAAAGCACCTACCATGAAACTGTTTTGTAAAAGTAGAGAAAAAAATAGTGCTGCAGTGAGAATGTAAAAGTGACGGCAGATAGTAAATGAACAGAACAGTGCTTTGTAGCAGAAAAAAATAGTAGAGCTGTGTGAACAAGAAACTATATAGATACACAAAACTATATAGATAGTGTATCACATCCCATGCCAGAAATGAGGTAATAATTCCTTTCTCTACAAAGTAGTAATGCCCAGCCTAATACTGGTAATTTTGCATCTCACTGTCAGCAAGACAGAAAATGGACAAGAACTTTGAGGAAAAAAACTATTAAAAATCTGGTGGGATGTAGTCAATGGACTAAATAGTCATTAAAGAATGCACAATATAAGCAGAACCTATCTAGAACTGCAGGGTACAAATGTCTGAATCGGTGCATATAATGTGACCCGAACAATTGTATAACTAGTAGCAATGTTCAGTTATATATTTATCTGATGCTTATTATAACAAAAGCTGACACCAGATATCAAAGGAAATTCCCTAACTCTTCTGTATCATGGAGTTGAGCTTGAAAGAAAAGTAGCAATGAAGTGATGGCTAAGAGGAATGAAACTAAGCACAGCTATTTTCAAATTCACTGTAGAGAGCCTAACCACTGTGAAACAGCAAACAGCTCTTTTTCAATTATTATATGCAGGCTTCCAATTTCAGAGGGGCATTCTTGCCTCTTTATGTATATTTTTATATAAGGTGATAAGTAATTATTTCCATATGTAAGGAAAACCTGTTAGGCTTTTAGGAATGGAAAGTGTTTGCAGGTGTTGAAAGATCAATACGTGGTGGAGCTGAAATTGTAATTGGCACTGAGATTAATCTTGTATCAGATTATACACTGAAACGAGGAGAGCCTGGTATAAATAAGCAGAAATCTTTGACTTGCACTTCATTACTGAAAATTCAGTAGCTTCCCTTCATCTTTGTATAATAATGTTATTTTTTAAAGTCAGTTCATAAAAGTCAGTTGTGTATTTCACTTTTAGTTTCTACTAAAATGTTGTTATATACATAAAGCATGGTAATTGAATGGTAATTCAATTTTTACCTTGGAATATAAGAGAAATAAGAGTCTGAGTCCAGAGGGGAAGAAGGGTGGTTACTTCACAATGTAACTGCTTGAAATACTGTTTTATAGACAGACTTTTCTGCCACGCAACTGACGTGCGCATCTGAAATTAAGAGCACAGCAACAATACGTTAAATTACGTTGTTTTACTGAATGCAACCTCAGTTTTCAAACTGGAGTTTTAGTTTCTTGTTTCCTTAGAAAGCTGCTTAAAGCCCGGCTTTACTGCCCTTGCACATGCATAACTGTATGTAAGTGCGTTTGATATTCCCTCTGTTCTGATGGCGCTGCTTTAGGAAGAAGCACAGCTTAACTGTGAGAGAAGCGTAGGAAATTAAAAGTGGCCTAAAATACAAGTGTCACTTTTCACTTCTTGAAAAGCAGGAAGTTGCTCTGCTCTATCACAGATATTATGAGCATCTTGTAATTAATTTTTTCTGTATTTGTTCTTGGATGTACCAAACCAAGGCTGGAATCTGTTCTGTTGGGATGTTTGCGTGCTGTTTCGAGTATTGGCAAAATGAGAACAATAGTTGGGCTGTGTTTTGTTCCCTGTTTCTTTCTTTTGTTCCCTCTTCCCACTCAGTTATTTGATTATTAGACACTCAGCTCCTGTAGTCTGTGCATATATCAGCCCAAAACCTCAAAAACCTCTTCTTGTTCAAGCAGGGAGATGGCCAGAAGACTATACTGTGGGTTTCATCATACCCAGTCTTCTGGATCAGTGGTCTCTAAAATGGGGTAGCAAGGCAATCAGTTGGGGTGTGAGTAGGGTGAAAATAAGTAATTATTTCATCCTTTTTTTACTTTCTGTTTTTGTGTGTGTTTTCTGATGTGCGTTAATATATCACTACAGTAGTACATGTGTAATATTTCTAAGTAAATATACATGTATTGGGGGTGTGTTCTCCAAGTTCTGGACAGCAGCATTCTAAATGAGTATCACTGTACTTTGCGTTACTCTTTATTTAGTCTGTTCTTTGATATGAGGAGAGAGAAGAGGTTAGTGTATTTTCCAGTATGAGGAGCAAAGAATTCCTAAAAGTCCACACACAGGATGCTCAGATCCTATTTCATGCATGTATTTAACAATTTTATAGTATTTTGATTGAAGTGGGAATGTTTCATTGCTTTGTGTTGTGGAATATGTGATAATAAAGTAGTTCTGCTCTCGGAGAGGTAGAAAATGCATGCAAAACTGTAGGATTCAGTGTTGATTTTCATTAATCTTCAGTTCCCCCCCAGGGTGTAGATGAGCCATTTTAGAAATGAAGAGATGTGTGCCAGCATTATTTTTTTCAAGTTTGCAGTTATTTGGCTGTGTGCAGTATTGTTACTGGTATTCCTCCTTGCTCTGCATCTCTCACTGTTGTGCAGGTGGTCTAATCTTCAATACATGCCCTTTCCTGCTCAGGAGCTGTGCCCTAATAGACATTTGAGCCTAATGGGTGATAGGGAAGGGGGATGCTTAACAAGCCTGTTTTCTACTTTCTCCTAGATACAAATTTTAACGTAAACCTTCAGTTTACCACACCTTGTTCACTGTGGTATCTAGTTGCTGGTTTTCAGACAACTTTCTTGTGATACAGACACAGTTATATTTTAAAATGCTTCAACATAAGAGGACTTGATGTATTTTCTGGAAAGTTGAAAACATGAAATAGAAACTAGCTGTCAAAATTTGAAAGGTATATCAAGGAGGACTTACTGTAATTAATTGTTTATTCATGTTTTTGCAGATTCTGGTCCAAAATCAGAGTTTTGTTTAAGGCAAACTTGAACAGATGATGCGACTTTAATCTAGTATGACTTGCCTGCATGTATTTTCAAGTGCTCAGAGGGAATTCACATTTGATTATTTGCACCATAGTGCACTGCATAAAATATTCATGGAAGTGTCACTTTTCCATAGGTGGCACTCCAGGGCAAAGACAGGGACTTTGGACATTTTTAAAGTAATAAGTATGAAATGCAAGTTGAAAAAAACATATGCTGGTTGGTACTGGTATCCTGCAGCTACTGACAAATCATTTTTAGACCAGCAAAAAAATGGTAATACCTGAATTGGTTTTGACAGGGGTTCAGAGTTTACGAGCTAGGGCTACTGTAAGAAGTTTCTGCAGATAGAAGAGTGTGAGCGATTGAAAAGCATACTCTAAAACTCTATGCTATAATTGCTAATCTATTAAGATTTTGTATCTGTTGCTTTCAAATGCATATCTGCTGGAGTATGGTGTAGTTGTGTGAATTGATCTGAACCCTGTAAAAGTTAAAATGTAGTTTCACTGGTGGCTTGGGAAACTGAATTTCTGTTTCGCAGCTGTTGTATTAATAATCAACCTATTTGCTCACAAACACGTTACTTGTTTTAAAGCAAAAAAGGTTGCCTTGGTAAACAGGGTTGGATACCGGGAACAAAGCAAAGAATGTACTGAAGAATGCATTTGTATCTTGAATTTGATTATGTACTTTATACCAAATTTTACATGGTTTTTTATGCACAGTAATTTGGATATTTTGATATATTACTCTAAAAGCTGTTCTGCAAACGTGAACAAGGATAACAGTCATATATTCACTGTGTTAAAAAATAAGTTTGTATGCTAACCAAGAGTTTCCTGGTTTTAATACAGCACAGAACAGGAAGTTCAGTGAATCTGGTGCAAGCTTCACAATGAAGAACTTTATTAACACCAAAAATAAAACTGCAGGATGTTGCATGGCAATGTCAAGGAGGGGGATCAAGGAGAGGAGGCTTTCATTCGTCTGAAATGCTTATTAGCCTTACTAATTTTGCCTTGATACAGGTACCTTTGAGGTCCTCAAAGTGATGCACGACTTGGGGGTGGAACTTGATGCGGATACATATGCAGACTATGTTTTTAAGAATTTTGCTGATAGTGAAACTGCCCGTGCCCAGCTGAAGGTGAGTTTACATAGAGAATTCATAAAAATGGCTATTGTATGGCTTGGGTTTCTGTGTTCTCTGTGAAGGCTTTAAACCTCAGTAGTGCCCTAAACGTGATCTTGGTCTCACGAAGCCTGTTCAGAATATCTTTAGATACTAGTTTTGATTACGTTTGAAGCAGTTCTTGCACTGGTGGTTTGTTTGCCTTGTCTTCTGCTGCTTTCCTTTCTTCTTTTCAGAGCTAACCGAAATAATACTTAGCTCAAGACTTACTAGCTCAATACTTAGCTCAAGACTAGAATTATGTCCTTTTACTGAGAATTAAAAGTATTACAGATGTTGCTGATGATATTTTTGTGGGTGTTTTTTTTTAATTTTTTATTTTTTTAAACTTAAAAATTGAGAACTGCAGACTAAGTTTAACTGCCCCACTCTTTTTGATTTTGGTAATTTTATCTCTTGCAATTGATTTCAATACAAAATCTGCGTAATTTTTGATTGGTAACAACTTACCTGGCTAGCCGTGTAGTTTTTTGTGGAGCAGCTTCTGTGTTCTCAGTGACTATCAATACAAGTATGCCAATGTCCTTGGCAAGCATTTAAAAATACAAAGTATCAGGAAGTCTTCCCTGTGCCTACAATGATTGATCGCTTTATCTCTAGAAAAATGGCTGCCTATTTGAAAGTCATGGGCTCTCTGTAGCAGAAATAAGATACGAAGCAGTAAATGGAAGACTGAACAATGTTCTTTCTCTGTGTAAGTATTTTTAATGTTGCATGTTACTACGTACTTGGTAGCACTGATTGGTTGTAGCTTAGGAGATTTACATGTATTAATATGAGGTGTAAAGGTATGTGGGGAAACTTGAGCAAAGCTTTTATGTGAAGTCCTCTGCGATGAGACGTCAGACTGAAACTACCAGTTCTGGAGAACATATCATGGTTAAATTATGTTTCACTATAGAGCCTGGCCATAGGATTTGTATATGCGATAGTCACAAATCACAGCTTTGCTGTGATTGTGTTGCAGTTATGATCCTTTTGTACTTAGAGGGCTTAAGGAAACAATTCGCCTTGCGGAATGACTGTAAAGTTGTTGGTCCGGGAATGGTTTCTGTTTGCAGTGCCAGTTATAGCAGGATGGTAGTCTAACAATATGGCTCTGCGGTACTACAGAATTATTAATGAAAGAACCAGCTTTAAAGAACTGATCGACATCAGTTAACCTGAGGGTGCTCTGTGGGCCATGGAAGTACGTGTGTAAGTTTGATGGGTTAATTAGGTGATGAAGTTGTAACAGCATGAATTAATCGGTTTTTAAGAGTTTTCTCCAAAGATGGTTCTTATGCTCAGTGCTTCCAAGTGTTAATACATGCCATTGGGATGGGATAATTTGCTTGCTAAGTAGGAATATATGTTTCTTTTAAAGTTTAAAAAAGCTCTGTTTTTATTTGCCTAGTATACTGAGACAGTAATAATATACCTGAATTTGGACTAAATATAATACAAACAGGTCTTTTATTCAAACAGTTTTATGTGTCCGAGGCTCAGGGAAGAGCTTAACCAGTCTTTTATTGCAATTGTCATTAATTGTTTTATTTAACAAATACAGGAATATGTAGTCTATACACCATGACCCTGGGAAACTGTTGTGCTGAAAATGGGAAAATTGAGTAGTTACTAGTCAGTGATCTAATTTCCGTATTGGAGATTTATCGGTTAGTGAACTAAGGTTCACCTTGTGCCATCATTTTGTTTGTTCTTACAATAACAACAACAACAACAACAACAAAAAAAGAAAATCATGAAAAATGAAGCACCTAAAATAAATTTGAAGGGGTTTTTTTGATAGGGTGGCTGGTTTACAGCAACAAAATTTCTTCTGGAAGGCGAAACAAGTTTTTTTTGGGGGGGAGTATTTTGGTTTTGTATTTTTGTTGCTGTTTTTGCCCCTCCATGAGAAATTAAATGCCTGCCTTCACACTCATTTTGCTTAACTGAAATAGTCAAGTTTTAACATGTTATAAAGCACAAATATGTGTGTGTCTGGTATATGGTAGATGTATATGATATCAAAAGTGTGATACCAGGCACATGTATTCTGAATTCTGTGTTACTGTCATGAAATTAGTCTCACATAGTGTACTATTTAGCTGTTGCCTTGTGTGTTGAATTTGAATCTTGTAGTGGTATTTCTGTTTACGAAGGCTAGGGTTAATAATTCATGGAGACACACAAGATTTCTTTTGAACTTGAGCTTTAAAGGAAGCTACTCCTGTAAATAGTTTACCAAGCTGAAATGAATGCTAGTAAATCTAATTAGCACCTGAGTAATGATAAGGCACAGATATTAAACAGCTGATTTTTCCTTTTTTTTCTTTTCTTTTTTTTTTTTTTATTGACTTGGCTCCTTTTGCAGTATTACAAAGAGGGAAAAATAGATGCAGTATGGAAAATAGTTGAAGATTGTCTCATCAGTGTAGCCAGGGGAGGTGAAGGTTGGTTATTAATGCTGGTTGCTATCTATGTGTATTGATTCAGCTTCTCATGCCTTATAATGTATAGATTTCTGCTACTGACAAGATGAAAACTACGAAGCATCAGTTGAGGAATCTGGCCGCATAAGGCGGCATACATGAGAGCTGCTTTTTCCCTTTATCACACAGTTCCATTCCACTTCATTGTCAGCCCCTTGATTTTCTCAGACTTGTTTGTTGCTAAGGAAACCAGGTTGCCGATTGTCAGCAGCAGCTGAGCATACTAAGATGCTTTTCTGCTCATCTTTTTATGAGCAAAAAGTTTAATATACCACTGAAGAAAGATTTGTATTGAGAGTTTCTTGAAACCAACTTTACCTGAGCTTTTCAAACTAAAATAAACATTCCAACGTTTAAAACTTTAAATTTTCTGAATGCCTGGAGCTCGTTTAAGGAGTGGTTTTAGCATGTTGCTCCTGCCTTTTATTGCCCATGTTCCTGTAGAGCTGGTGCTTTTATTTCAGTTCTTCTCTACCATATACCATACTGCTGCCCTTGATGAAAGGGCCCAGGGCATTCAGATGGAATCTATCATGATAGTAAAGTCAGATGATAATAACTTCATACAGGACTTACATGCATCTACTACTGTATTTTCTTTCTTTGCTGGAGTATGGTGCTGGAATGAGAGACAGCAATTCTAGAGGAAGAAGGTAGACTGTTTTGGAATATTTAGCCAAGCAAGGGTGTAAAGATGAGGACATAAGGCATAACTGTAAATGACCTCTTAGGGCCATCTAATTTTAAGTAATATTACAGTTTCCCTAGTGTCTTGGTTAGGATTGTTTGGGGTTTGTTTTCTTTTTGGAGCATAATACTTTCTTCAGTCTTACACTTTTTTTACAGGTAAGATGCTTACTCCAATTACTAATTTGTATAAAAGACTAATGTATTAACTATTGGCATTGAAAGCAATAAAAAGGGGAAAATTTCACATTTAGAATGTTTGATCCCTTTTGAAATGGACCAGATTTAGAGCTAATAAAACCTGGACTGTTTCAGATCCCCTGTGTTTGAAATTTTGGCTTACAAATGTTTACCCAGCACTTCCTCTGAACTAAAAACATAGTTCTTCTGAGGACACCCTATTTACATGACCTACTGAGTTGTGGCACTCCAGGAATTATTAATTGTTTTTGTACAATGACCACTTAGAAACACTTCTTTCATTTACAGTGACTTCAGCAAGCACGCCTCCTATTGATATTCGTCAGATCAGGAACAGCCTCATTTTGGGTTTTAGAAGGTAAGGTTGCTATAGAATACCTCAGTTTTCCTGTAGCAAAGTTCCTTGTCTTTTTTTGCCTTGATGAACTCAAGTCTGTGCAGTCTTCCCCATGGTCCATGTTTGAACTTTGAAAAGTATGGTTCCAGGTGTAGCAGATCTGAGGGATGTCTTTGTTCTTCTCTGCTCTCCCTGGTTTCCTTGCCTTTGCCATATATGAGCATACCTTTGAAGTATTACGTATACACTAGATTGAAAAGAACTTCACTGTTCTTGTTTGTTCTATTTGACAGTATATAAACTTCTCAGGGTAGTAAACATCTGGGGGTTTATTTTTAGTCACTATTTTTGTTTATAAACTGCTATGCTAATGTAAGATTTCCCTAAAGATTATCACTAGTAACCATTAAAGCAAATGGGTTCTTAATGATGATGAAATACCAGTCAGAGCCAGGCATATTCTACATCTGATAGCTTTCTGTGCCCTCTGGGTTAATATGACTCCTGAATACTCACACTGAATGCCAACTATTGTGCTGCAATTGTCATGACTTTATATTCACAGCCCTATGGTCCTGTTTTGCAAGGAGGCTTCCTTGCTAGTTTGCCTAAGTTTAAGAGAACCCCGCAGGTATATGTGGATTAGCAAGCATTTCTATCGTTCAGTTTGCCCTGGTCAGACATTTAGAACTGTGAATGAGGGGTTTTTTTGCAGTGCTCCTGCACTGCTGGGAACTAGAGAGGTCACTTAATATCACTTAGGACCAGATTCTGGAGGCTGGTTTTGTTCACAAAGGCATTTCCTAAAATTCTGTAATGGCTATGAGATATAGCTATGTTTAAGTTGGAGATTAATAAGGCATACCAGGTGAATATGAGCAGAATAATTTCCTGGTATATTGTAAGTTGTGTCTGGCTGATCCTGCTCTGCTATGAGAAGAGGATGAAAAAAAGCAAACCTGTGTCAAACGGGGTCTGTTAACTAAGCCGTAACGGACCTTGACATCCAAGGGATAAATGAAATAATGTTTTAGATCCTACAGAGTTCTTCATTTCAGTATTTAGCCCCAGAATTGTCTGTTTCAGATGTATTAATGAACAGATTTTTGGAACACAATTCTTTGCAAGTACAGATGAATATTCAGTAGAAGTAGAACTTGCGGTGGGAAGGAAGCCATGCCAATGATTACTGCATATAACCAATGCTATCATGAAATACCCCTGCCATGGGGGTGCAGGTGGTAAGGATGTGATTTGAAGGGCTTTTAAATTGTCATCAACTTGTACTGTGAAAACTACCTGCTGAAGAACCACATTCTCTTCAAGTGAAACAATTACTCTTGTCAGTGGTGGAACAGTTACTAGTGTTGTGATTTCAATAGTTATTGGACATTTGGGCAAAAAACTTGGAACTCTCAGGAAAATTCAGGTTGGGGTTTTATTGGTGCGTTTTCTGCTTTTGGGTTGGTTTGGGGGGTTGGAGCAGGTCTTTTTTTTTTGTGGTGGTTGGGTTTTTTGCGTTTTGGTTTGTTTTTTTTTTTACTTTGGTGTTTTGGTTTGTGTACTTGCTTTTTAATTTATTTTTTTCTTTAACATTAATCTCTCTTTTGCCTTCATTTCTACTTGGCTTCAGAAGCGATGTACAGGGTTGGCTGTGCCCAGGTTTCACCCTTACATTGTTTCTGAAAGCGTGCCAATTCAGTGTTTCCTTTTCTATTTTAAACATAATGGCTAGAGCAGCCTGAAAATGAAGCTTGAGGATATGATAGGATAGAAGAAAAAATATGTATACCTTGTAAAGACTGAAGGAAAATTTTATGACTAAATACAGGTCTTGAATGTTCAAATGAGTGGAGTTTAGGACTGGCATACGGAAGTACAGGGTATGGACACCAGGGACGCAGGAACAGTGTCTGTGGCAGACTAGTTTATGGATTTCTTTAGAAACTGCTCTTCTCTAGTAACTGCTTCGAAGTATTCCCATTCTGCCTGCCTGATGTACCATTACTATTTCAGAGTCAAGTACTTTAGGAAATTGATGCATTTGATATCTGCAGTTCATTGTCATGCTGTCAGTAGTAGAGCGAGTTCACCTAGGAAAGCTTAACTAACCTCATAGATAGCATATTTCCTCCCCACCGCCCTGTGTGGACCTGCATCTGACTCATTTTCAAATACAAGTGGCAGTTGCACAGAAAGAATTAATGTTTCACTGGCTTAAACCTCCTAAATAAAATCCTAAACTTCTCTGAATGCTGTCAAGTTTCTGTGCAGCTGTTCAGACTGACATCTTATTTTCCCCTTATGAGAAGTAGAGCAAGATAAAATAAGGTTGTATGGTTTTGATCTTTTAGCCTTGTCTAGGTTAATGCTGCTTTATAGTTTTTGAAAAGTTACAGCTTCTAGCAAGGGGGTTATACTAGCATTGTTCTAGCATTGGGGTTATACTTCAGTGAACTGGTTAACGTTTGATCTTTGGTTGTAACTTGATGACAGTCAGAGAAGTGCTTGCCTTCAAATTCTGTCCTGTTTTATGAGGGGGGAATTTGAGTTCTGTGTTTTGTTTTCTGTTTTTTAAAACATTACCTATTTATCTCACTATAATAAACATACCTTAAGAGATTTGATTACTTTTTTTTTTGCATTATATAAATGCATTTATAGCTGTCTGTACTTACTTGTCTGTACTAAAAGATTAATTTTAATGCTGAGGAGTCTAGATTTTTGCCCTAGCAAATACGACCTATCGAGTGCTATGTAAAGTGTGACTTGTTTGAGCAAAGCTTATCTTGAAATGCTGAATAGAATGAAGCATAAAATAAAAAGTATAATTAGGATATGTTAAAAGATTCGACTAAAGATGAAACTAAAATATATCTATTGTAGTCTTAGCTATCTGGATTGCTGCATTATTTTAAATTGTTTAGCAGAAACTGACTAGTATAGAGAAAAGTAGTATGTTTATTCCGTGCAAAATTGATTAAAGCAATATGTGGCAATGACTATTTTTATTGATATAATTCATTAATTTATCATAGTTCTAATTATAATGGCTTATTAAAGATTCTCAGTGTAAGTTATCTTTAAAAAACCAGATACAAGAGTATAAACCATTTTATTGCTTTTAATTTGTTATCCTTTGCTGCCCTCTTCAGCTCGGATGATGTACAGCTCTGGAGCAAGGTAAGTGGAGATAGTAGTGCTTTAAATAAGATCTAGTTCTTTAGACATTGCATTTTTATGATGCATTTCTCTGAATTCTGAGCCCAATAACTGTAGACCTGATGAATGTGCGCAAGACTTTTGTCAGTGATAGATTGTACAATTGTATGAAAATGAGTTTTCAAATTGGACAGCTAAGTATAATTGTAAAAATCAAATATGGTGTTACCATGTAGTGTAGTTTACGCTACTTCAGTTTCTAGATCAGTGTTGTCATCAGTGAAGGTAGTATGTAGTTGTAGATTCTGGAACAAAGTCTGACGTGTTTGTGCAGTCTGACTGCTTAATTTCCTTCTGTGTCTTCCCTAAACTTTCTTCCTATCCCCACAGTAGAACTAATAAAATAATAAAGCATAACTAGAATCCTAAAGCTTTTGTTATATAACTTAAAACACTGAATGCAAAGCCAGGTAAAAGGAATTACCTGGTGAATTCAAGGGGAAGCGACTGTTCTTTTGCCCTCTCTGTTATGGGCTTCATTAGAAATACACTGTCATATAACTTGGGCAGTAAATTTTGATGAGCACTAGAACAGAGATGTTGACAGATATGGCCTGAGATGTGATTACAGAATTTGGGAAGGGATTCACTATGCATTTTGTCTTTTATTTTTCTTTGGTTCTGTACCTGCTGACTAATAAACTAGTACCTGACTTGCAGTATGGTTTTTAAATTTTGCAAAGAAATCTTGGAATGAAATAAAATTTGTATTTGTGAAAGTCACTGATTAATGATTCATTTAAATTGGGTGCAGCTTGTGAGATGATGGGGTTCTTTTGTCATTTCCTACTTTTTTATGTTGCATGAAGATTATGGTGAGAGGATGGGTTTGTCCTCTGCATCCGTCTTTTGCATTTAAAAGGTACAAAGGGAAGGTGAGGAGAGAGGAAAAAGGCATTTCTTATCACTCCTATTACGAAATTAAGTTTTAAGGACAGTCAGAGGACTGAAGTAATGGTTGTCTGCACAAGAAGTTGTATCTAGAGTTACTTCTGCTTTTCTCCAAAGTGGAAGATTTTGTTATATTCACTAAATTTATGAGTAAATATATGTATTGACATTCTAAAATGAGAAATACTAACTTGGGAAAGAAGTAGGTACTTTGCTTTAGATATAATATCACCCATTTACGTGGATTGTTCTCTGTTACACATCCTTTTTTTGTCATTTTCTGAGATTTGATTCAGAAGGAAAACTGTTAACCTGACTTTGATTTTATTGTATTGTCTTGATTTGTCATAGGAGGATGAGGGCAAAAGAGCAGAAGAAAACTGTAGTTTAACTGTGTGCGGTGTCCTTGGTGTTGGTAGAATGAGAAGTGATAGTCACAGTATTCCATTGCACATTTGATATTTTCTGGCTTTATCCATTTTCATTAACAATTATTATTGCTTAAAACACAGCACTTTGACAGTGGGAGTGTATTTACCTCAGACTTCGTTGAGATTGCATTCTAGAATCATGGCAGATAAAGCAATATTATTTAAGTACTTAAAATCTCTGATTTTAACTAGAGATGGTGTAATTTCCTTAAGAATAGTCAGACAGCTTTTTGAAGTGCTGTAGTTTAGGTTAAAGTATTTGTGCGTAGGATGTGGGGGCTTTGGGGTAAATGCTTCTCTTCTTCTGATAAAGTAAAATGTATGTATTCCTTCAGTTTGTATGACTGATGGAATGTGTGCTAAATTTAGTCCAGTTAATTTTATGGATGCATATTTTGTCATCCAAAATTGCACTTATTTACAATAGCTGTACTAGTTAAATGTAGCAGAGCATGATAAATGATGTTCCTCTATTTTCTTTATGTATTTGGTTCATTCAAAATAAATTAGAAAAAAAAGCTTTATGGACCAATTTCAGCCTTTCAGTAAATTGGAAAATAATTGTAGCATCTCCGGGGGTGACACTGGTTATAATACTTGCTTTAAGCAATGTCTTACAGTAGCTAACTTTCTATAGAACAATACATAAACAGAATACTAGAGTGTCTGTCTTGCTGCCATCCCTCAGAAAGCATTTTGTTTGCAATATTTTCTCAAGAAAACCTATTATTTACAAAAAACCACCCTTTTGTATTTCTTAGGGAATTACTATGATGTGGTAAAGAATAATACTTTAACAGAGAAATGCTTTATTATTTTGAGAATTCAATTTCAGATACTATTTGTCCTTGCTTGCTTCTTTTGGCTGCAATGTACGATTATTCTGTCTCACCAGATAACAGAAGTGTTGTACAAGGATGAACGTTATTGCCTGATGCCTGCAGCAGGACCAACTGGTAGAGTTTCAATTTCTGTGATTGTAACTTATCCACAAATCCGTTCTTCTGTGTAATGATGGGTTTGAGGGATTACAACAGTAAACACTGATTGCTTCTTTTTGAAAGTGAAATTTGAAAACATGTTGGGTAAAATCCTGATTCGAATAATCAGAGCATATTTTGTGAGATCCATAAGATCTTTTTTTAGAGGCAAATCTTGCGGATAGTGATTTATTTTTCTAAATTTATGGACCAAAAGAGATTTAGAATGGACACAGGATCAGTGCTTAAATACTTAAAAAAAAAAAAAGAAAAAAAGGGAAAAGGTGGCAGTCTTTCAACTTAGTTTCACCTTTAGTAGCTCTTCTGATTTCATAAAAGAAAATAGTACTTAACATCCCAAATCTTCTAGTTTGAAATAAGTATATCATTTTATATAATCTGGGGTTTAAAAAAAGGGGGGGGGTGATGTCCCTCTTGTCAAGGCCAGAGGGGCAAGGGCATTTGGCGAAAGCTAACCTTTGAGGAGACAATAATCGATGCTGTTCCTGTTCTTGGCAACAAGACCCCATGTATTTTTACACTATCATAGATAATAAATTTAGCACTATTGCTAAAATCTGTTAATCTTGATTTTCATTGGCTAATAGGCAGCTTCTTCAGTATTAGCTGACCTAATGTTTAAAACATTTTTTATGTTATTATATTAATATTACTATACTTAGTGTTGCTTAGTAATGGAATATAATGCATAAAATGTACAGAATAAATATGCAAAGCATTAGAAATCTGTTCCTTCTTTTGAGCAATGACAAAATATTTGTGGCAACTATTTGGGGTAGCGGGCAGGAAAGGGGGGGAAGGCCTTGGGCAGTACCACTTCTGTCACACAGTAGTGGAAAAAATAGATTGAAGTAAGATTCTGTACTGAAAAGCTGTCACTAGGTCTGAAAATAATTAATATTCCTTTCACTCACCAGTTAGATATGTGCTCCCAAACCACATAATCTCTATGCCTCAGTGATCATTGTTGCCATTCCAGAGCCTCTCATCAGGGTGACATCTCACACCAAAATGATTTCTTATAAATTAATCTTGATAACATGACAGTCTCAGTAATTTTAGTGGAATGCTTTCTCTTGTTTTTTTCCACAGAAGCTGTTGGCTATTTTCTTTATCACTTGATTGACAGCATGAGTGACTCAGAGGTACAGGCCAAGGAGGAGCGTTTGAGACAATACTTCCATCAGCTGAAGAAGATGGTACCATTTCATTTTTTGCTACATAATGCCTGTCCTGCCTGACATGTATCTATTAGATTTGAAATTGCTGCTTTTAAGTACAACCAGACCACTTCTCAATGACATGCAAGAGCTGGAGACTTGAATTACGTCTGAGATAATTTCTGTTAGACAAATTTCAGTTTGGTTGTGTTTCAAAACTCATATAATTTTTTCCCCACCTCTTGGTACAGAATATAGCTATCCCTACAACCCACTACAGCGGCATTTGCAGACTGCTGGACTCCTCTCAAGTTCCTGAATTAATTAAGGTCTGTGGTTCTATAGCAATTCTTTTTGAAGCTAAAAAAACTGTACTCTCTAACTGTATTCTCCTCTGCAAAATAAATATCGCTATGCAGTGATTATGTGTAAGCCTTTTAACCTTTCCAAGATTTTTCACTGTAGAAGCTGTTTTCATTTCATACGTAAAAAGGATACATTTAATAAGTGCTTTTTCAAGTCAGTTTATTAATGCTGTAGAATACAACTTTTTTTTTTTACATTGCAATTACATAAATAACTTTAACATTTTTAGTATAATATGCTTAAGGATTGAACTTTTTTTAGGGGAAATTTGTGATATCTTTGTCTTGCTACGTTTTAGGATGCAAGATTACTGTGTCATAAAAAAATCCTGCCTACAGACAACATTCCAGAAGTAAGTAAATTCACAGATAGCCGTGCTTGTTCTTACTGTAATAACAATGTTTGGATATGGGTTTTTAGATGAAGTGTAATCACTAGCTTTCAGATCATGGAAGTATATTAGCGTTATTTAAATCTACCATTTGAAGTTCAGAGGTTACTTTCCAGAGTAAGAGTAGAGGCTATCCAGATTTTCATACAGACCTGATACTTGACCTTGGAGTTGGCTGAGGCTTCGTGCCTCAGTTTCCCTGTCTAGTATATATTTTTTTGAAAGTTCTAGTTAGTTAACAGTGGTGGTGTGAGGCTTAATTCATGCTTGTAAATTACAGTGATCCACTTGAGTGGCAGGAACCATATAAATCCATACTGCTTCTAATGGTGGAGTGTCAAGCCTTTACATCTCTGATCTGAGCAGAGTGGAGATGGAAAAAGAAACAGGCTTCTATTCCCTGCTTCCCTGAACACAAAGAACCGAGTACGAGAGAAATAGTAATGTTGACCTTTGTAGATATGCTACTTCACTTTTTTTCTTTTACTGCATTCTGAGTCAAATCTTCAATTAGTAAGCGCTATTTAAACAGATAAAAGCACCTTAAATGATTAAAAAATTTCTTAAGAGTATGAAAGAAGAGGATTATTTTGTCTGTCTTTTATTAAAGTGATCCGACAAGTTGTTCAGGGAATGGTGTTTTTGCAATTGACATTCTTTCTGTTACTTCCATTTAGAGTGTTAAACCTGACGTGTCTGCTTTGGAGAAGAAACTAGAAAAGCAGAAAGCTGAAAACCAGCCTATTACAGATGTCTTGAAACAACTCATACATGCTCTTTGTGAAGAAGAGGTATCTTAAGCAATGCAGAGATAATTGGAAACACATAGCTATATTTTTAAAGGGACATAAATGACTGTATTATGGAAAGACATAGTTAAGCAAAGACAAGTGCAGTGCTTCAGGTTTCATGGTTTGATGCTTATAAATCAAACATAAGTGCAAAAAGCAATTAAATCAAAAGGTTAACTAATTTCAGCAACACCTTGAATGGCATGTTTTGGGGTTGCTGAAGTTTGTTTACAATAATCTGCAAAGTGAATGATAGTAACAGCTGTGATAGGTTTATCATACATGCCAAATGTCCTTTCAAGCCATGGCTCCGGTCTCTTATATCTAGATTGTCAAGCAACTGATACATGCACTAGTAATTTGCAATTCAAATATTACTAGGTTGTTAATGCAGGGATTGAAATTCCATTTTCCTGCAGGAGGAAAGCTCTTCTGAGATAAAGGGTCTCTTGCCTTCATTCGGCAGGCGTCCAGCTGTAGTTTACATTCATTTAGTGTGTGTCTGTAATTTGTGGGGTATCACCACACTTTTATTCAGTTTCTCGTTCAGTATGATCCTGCCTATAAAGCTGTATATATAGGAACAGTAACAGTCGTGCAGATGATAGCACAATATTCTGTGTTCCTTAAGTATACCATTTAGAAAGAGTGATTCTCAACTATCTATCTCTACAATTTTGCTTGTGAAATAAGACTAGAAGCAAACACCCATTGTAAGTTCAGAGTGGTGAAATGTATGAATAGGAAAGTAGGAAAAAAATAAGCTTCCTATGGGATCATTAAGTAGTTTCTTACTCTTTAGAAAGTAGTTTTGTTATCTGTTTGGCAATGTGCCAGGGGAAAGTTGTTATGAATTCCAAATAAATAAGAGCTGGTTTAAAATTTGGGTCAGTCATTTTATGGTGTCTGTCTGGATTAAAAAAAAAAATAAGTCTTAGATTAAACCATGCTACAAATACAAAGCAAGAAAATTTATTTAGAAATCTATCAAAAGAATCTAAAAGGTATTTTAGAAAAATATTAATTTCTGCAAAATAACTTTCACTCTTAGAATTTCTTATTCGTTAAAGCACTATGTTTTCAAATGTGATCTTGTGCTACTAAAAGCACTAAAGCAGCCATGTAACTGCACACTGAACATAGAAGAATCATAATGTCATACTGACTTTTCCTCTAGTTCACATCTTTGCTTTGTTCCTTTTATAGAATATGCAAAAAGCCCTTGAAGTGAAAGCCAAATACGAACCGGACATGGTTGTCGGTGGCTATGCAGCCTTAATAAATTTGTGCTGTCGACATGATAATGTAGAAGAGGCAATGAACCTGAAAGAAAAAGTGTAAGTACACCGGCACTGAAACATGTCACAGAGATTTATGCTGATACACAGACCTTGTTGAATTAAGTAGGTTGAGTATTAACCCCCTCATCCATTTTTAATTAGTTCTCCCCTCCAATGTATGTGCATTTAAAAGAGTCATGGGTGTGGTTTTTTGAAACAAAAAATTTGCTTTGTATAATTGAACATCAGAAACAGCTACTTTTTATGGTCAGTAATTATTATTTTATTCTTTTTTAAGGCAAATTGCTATGTAGGATCTGGTTTGGTTTTATTTTAAATGTACCTCGTGCCTATATTGAAGCTTGGCTGAATTTATCGGGAGGGGAAAGGTACCTGCATTGTGTCCTAGAAAGCACCTAGAATGTGTTTAAGATACACTGCACCTATACTGCCTTTCGATTAACAGTGTTTGAGTGACATTATTTTAAAACTGTCAACAAACATTCTACTTAAAATTTTTCACCTTCAGAGCTTTGTATCTTGGCCATAAAAATTAGCTCCCAGCTAAAACATACTATGTGTGTGAGTTATCCCAGAGCAAATTCTTGCAGATCATATTTCTATTTGCTCCTTTCCCTTTTTCACTTAAAAGCCTCCTTCCAGTCTGATGCTGCAGTGGCTATAGAACAAGTTTTGTGTTACTTTTCTCTCTCTTGTATTTGCTCACAAAGTATTTGCTCCGGGTTTACAGTACGTTAGCAATCAGGTGCTCATTAAACCTTGTTAGTCTTCGAAATTATGTGAAATGATTGTGCTATGAATATCAAGAAATTTGCCAGTCTGTAAATAATGGTAGTGTATTGGTTTTGAGTGTCCTACTACTCTGGCACAGCCTCATAGTGGATGTGCATGAAGTAAAACTGAATCTTCTAGTGGAGCTTCACTGCTGTATCATGTTGTTACTGATCTGCCTCGCATGTAGCATAATATTGCTAGGAAGCGACTCTTTGAATTGTTACAAAGACAAACAACAGGGAATGAATGGATTTTAAAACTTCCAGAAAAAAAAGAAAGCAAACACATAGCAGAAACTTTAAAGTAGTAGCTTTTAACTTGTTACTATAGGTAAATAGCCCCTTCACAGCAAAGAATACAGCCCTGCCTGAGCCATCTGGACTGAGTTTTCTTCCCAGGCTTCTGGGAAATACCCTGTTTCATGCAATAGCTACCAAATAATTAAACTATTTGGTTTTTTTTAAATACAACTTTCAGGTTTTGGGGGTGGAAAGGTGTGTGGATAGTAATTTTAAATCATGTCGCAATGGTGCATCTTTTAAAGTCTTACCAGATTTTCCCCTTAACGCTTCTGTAAATTTTAGCTCTCAGTGCTGTTGTTTTGTTGTGTAGTTTTGAAAATAAATCTTTAAGCTGAATCAATCCATGAAATGTGAACTTCTGTTAATACAATTCTTAATGTCTTAATTTCTAGCTTCCCTAAGAATTCACCTGTTGCTCTCGACACTCAAAAGTACATAGCGCTGGTAGAAGTCTTAGCAAAGCATGGTAGACTAGAAGGTAATCCATTTGCTTTCATTGTGTGTTTCTGCTATATAATAAAGGTATCTTGCCTGAAGAATAAAAATGTGAGTTGATATTAATGGTATATCATGTCCTGAAAAGTGCTTGAACATTTTGCATACAAATTTGCATGTGAATTCAACCAGAGATGCTTGGACAGTGCAGGCCATTAGTTTTAATGGATTGGCAAGCTTGTCATTTACATTTGCACAGCTCAGTGCTTTTTGCATTTCTGCAGCTAGTTTTTATTAGCATTGCTGTTTGGATTGAGTTTGAAGATCATGACTTATGGCACAAATTGCGTATGTGCCTAGACTAATGGCTTTGTTTTTGCTTAAGAAGGTCTGAAGGCTGAACATAAAACCTATAAACATAACCTCCTCGTAAGAGCCAAGTACTGCAAAAAATCATTTAACTTTTTATAAGGTATATATTTTTCTGTTAGTATTCTTTTATGTGTTTGTTACTGAATTCAGAGTCAGATCTGTCAAGCTGCCTGGAAATTTTGGCTTTTAATGAGTGTTCTGCAAACTGCCTATTTTGTATTTCTAGGTGTTTGCATTAAGCTGTTAGCTCTTTAATTTCTGTAATTTAATCTAATATAATTCTGTAATTTACATGACTTGGTTGAGCTTTAGAAGAACTGTAGGCTGTCATCTATTCTAAAAGGTGATTCTGAACATTGAGTTCTATGATTTTGTAGAAGTCTTAACACCATAAAAGTGTGGTCCAAGCCTAGACACAAAAGGTTGTATTTTTATATAAAAAAAACTAAACAATACAATTAAAAAGCAAATGTCTTTTTTTTTTTTTTTTTCCTTGTAAGATCTTCCTTGAAATTTGTCTTGGCCTCTCATTGAGCTTACTGTTAGAAAATAATAAACAAAGCTGAGGTCTTCAAAATCATAATAAATCAGATTGTGACCACCTCCACATTAAGGGAGCTTGAAAAGATTAGCTTGCTTATAGGAGCATAAATGTCCTCAGAAAATAAAACAGCTTGTAATGTAGCCAAATGTAAAGTGGTCAAAACATTCCGTCTGTGCAATAATTAAAAACATTATAAAAATGCACTTATTCCATATACCAAAATGTTTATTTCTGCCTTACTAATGAAGCTTAATGAACCTAATGTTTTAACATGCAGTCTGTTAGAAAGCTTTCATTGGCTCTCCTTGGCTAATTAGTATCGACACAGCAAACAGGCCCTATCGGTATCAGACCATTAGTCTGGCTGTATATACAGTGTAAACATATCTTTATTATCTGGCCTCGTGACAAGCCATCTGCTGAAGAAACAATGGAGTGATTTAGCAGATGTTAGCATCGAACGATAAAAGCATCCATTTAGTAGAATCTTGCAGCTATAGGGCAGACTGTACAGGGTTACGTGGTGCAGAGTGGGCACACAGTTCCTATCTATAATTTGTAGTCAAAGTTGCAGCAAAATGATAAAACCATGCTATTGTGGATTTATAATTGTAGTCTCGTTTAGAAATGCAAGTAGTAATTAACTTGAAATCGGCATTATACACCAGAATTTGCATTCCTGCTGGGTTTGAAATGCTGTTTTAATAGCAGTTTGTTTTTCCTACATGAAATTACCTAAGGGTCTTTTGTGTTGTTTCATTGTAGATGCTATTAACATTCTAACGGAGATGAAAGAGAAGGATGTTCCTATCTCATACAGAACAGTTGCATCTTTTTTCCGCATCCTTAATGCCGCTGCCTTGCGAGGTGAAGTTGAAACAGTGAATCGATTACATGAGGCCATTGTGAACCTGGGGCTGGCTGAGACTGCTGCCCTTCATTCCCCTCTGATTACAGTTCACCTTGAAAAGTAAGCTATAGTTGGGCTTCAGATGAAATAAGTTATGTATTTGTGTTATATGACCTGTGTGTGCTATGCACAGCTGCACATACATACATGTTTGAAATTGCTTCTGCACGTAAAAATGAAATCACATGCATGCACATAAGGTACTGAAGGGATTTAGGAATAGTAACAAATGAATATGTTTTAGATAAGTATTTTCATCAGTTACACATCACATCATGGCTCTGGGAGCAACAGCTGTGTTTTATGTACACATCAGAAATGAAGTGGCTATATATTGGATTATTCTTATAGTTGGCTCTAAAGTCTGTCTGACAAGGTAGCTGCTCAGAGCATGATAGGTGTAGCCTCAGCTCTTGTGGCTAAGTGGTGTGTGTTTTCCCATCAAAACAGCATTATTTTGCTGTGCCATCCAGTACATCTCAGGTGAGTTGAAGGGCGGTTGTCGAACACTGAAATATTTTTAATCCACATAACTCAAATAATTTGATTTTACTGCCATGCTACTGAATTTAAAATTCGGAGAGAGTACTGCTTTATTTGGTTTTGTTTTGTTTTTTTTTCCATATATACTTTTCGTACCCTTTAATAGAGAGAAGGAAGTTCATACATTCATTCTGTCAGGAAGTAATTCCACGTGTCATGTTCCTTTGCGTAAATTTTCGTTATGAGGTGTAAGATATTTGAATGAATGCACGTACGAAGTACATGACAATTTCTTGCTAAAATTGAGCCAAGGGTCCCTTTTCACTTCCTTTACCCTATGCACAATCCTTCTATTTTTTTTTCCTTATGTTATTTATGTAGTTGCTGGACTTTAATCTCTTGCAGCTAGAGCAGTTGATCAGTTTCTTGCAGTTTAATTCACATATGAGATGTTCCTGGATTAAATATAATGCCTATGAAATAAATGACTTTTTTTTCTAGTATTACATAGCTTAACCCCAAAGATGCATATTTCTGCACATTTCTGTTAACATGTAGAGTTTTTGAGTTCTTACGAGTATTTTGGATATGCAGGGTCTAGATAATGTTTTCTTTATTCAAAATTCATGTCAAAAAATGTAACTTGGTAGGTACATGTACATTCTCTTCTAAAATTGTATTTCAGTGTAGTGATCAACAATTAAGAATACAGTGTGTATCTCTTCAGTCAACAGCACTGCCTTGGTTGCATCACAAGACAAGGCAGATGTTTATGAAAGTAATTTAACTGCAATCATATGTAACTAATGTGTCGGAAAAATATCTGATATGCTTTGCAGCGTGCAGTGAGAGCAGCTGCATTTTACATAATTGCTTTATGCATGTTGACATGCAAGTTGTACATCATGCTACTTGGGTTCTTTTCACTTGAGAAGTAGTATGTAATGTAAATAAATACGTGATCATATGTGGATGCAGAGGGACAGTAAAGAGTCTTATTTTAGTGTGATTCCACAGCCTTTTGGATTATAAACGTTTGGTAAAACTTGTAAGGATTTTTTTTTTTTTTAGGGTTTGTTGTGGTTTTGGTTTGGGGGTTTTTTGGATTTTTTTTGTTTTGTTTTGGTGGGTTTTTTTAGGATTTAGGGACTTTTTATGAGACTAGATTTTGAAAGGAAAAAATAATTCCATACTGTGGAATTGTATTAGCTACAAGTTGTTGGTACTCAGTTGTTTAGCTTACTGTATTTCATATCTATAATTATAATACAAAGTAAGCTCATTTCCTGTTTTTTTTTTTTTGAGGGGGGACCTTACTGATGGAGAGACTTACTTCCTCTCCAGTATTAGAACCGAAGGGGGAAGCTTTTTCCACATAATTTGCTTGGGAGGAATAACTAGATTTGGCTTTGGTGTTTTGTGTGTGTGTGTGTGTGTGTGTATTTGTGTGTGTCTTGAAGATGCTAAGAGTTTCTGAAAGTTAGGAGTAACTGAAATAAGTGTTAGTCATTTCTTTCAGAAGTCGTGCTTACTATTTGCCATCGTAGAGTTCAAGCATCATACTGAAATGCTGTCATTTAGCTGCAGGTCATCAGCATGCCTCTCAAATTAGACCCAGGATACTTTTTAATGTTCCACAGCAGTGGTTATCCTGGTGTTTTGTGTTCTTGATTTATTTCAGACTTTTTAATTGCTTGGAAAAGAATCTGTGATTTGCTTTTGAGGATTTCAGCAGCTGTAGGTGTGAAATGTTTTTGTCTACCCCTTTTTTCTGTATCGAGTACTGGATACTCTGAAATTCTTGTTGAGTCCTATTGCTTATTGAAAGTGACAATTGGCAGCAGAGCATGGAAAACAAAAGAACTGTTTATGATGAACAGTGTAACTTGAAAAAAGCAAAAAAAAACTAATATCCTAGTAGAATGGGCATCTTGCCTTTAATGTTTTGAGAAGTATTTAATGGAAGTAAGTAGAGAAAGAACTCATGCTACCTTGGGGTTTTTTGCCCTAAGTGAATTTAAGGGGAGCCACCCCCTGCCTTTAATTGCGTGGTATTTATTTATGACTTTGAACAGTTTCTCAGAGTGGTCAAGTCGCATTAAAAATTGAGCCAGTCCACGTGTGGAATCTTGCTCTGTCATTCAAGGTGATCAACCTGCCTTGGGCAGTACGACAAAAATCTTAGTTTCTAAAATCTGCAAGGATGTGAAAAGCTTGTACTTTTTCTTAAAGCATGGCTTAGTTTTGAACTGGGTCTTCCAACTGCTAATAATTGGAAACAGTTGTGTTACCTACACCACATAAAAATTCTTACAGTTTTGATGATGGTAGTTTTGGCTTTTACCTTCTGTACCCACTGTCACAGGAAAACATGAGCTAGTTTACAAAACTGAAGAGCTTCGTGAAGCTAAACTGCTCCTGTGCTTATATAATACTTTGGTAATACCTATAACAGGATGATAAATTAATGCATACAGTAGCTACTGATGATTTCTTTTTTTGCTTTCTCTAAGAAAGCTGCACAAGTCACCTTTCATACAACGCACAATAGGAATATGTGTCTTAAAAACTTGATATGGTTCCTGTATGTTCAGGAACAGAAGTTTGTTTCTTCCCTCTTTTAATAATACCACCTCAGAGAAAAGAAACAAACCAAAACATTTTCGAGTTGAAATTTACCAGTTCTCTATTTCTCAAGTGCTCCTAAGCAAAGGAAAGAAATTTTGCAGGTAAACTTTGAAAACAGTCAGTGAATGCAAGCAGTTAATAGCTGTGTATTAAACAATCAAAAAGCTATAGCTCGGTTGTGTCTCTTAAAAAATGATCAGTGAATTTTAATACAGCATTGTCCAGGAAAGCGTTGTGTGCTGGTTTGTGATTAATCTGATAGAAACTCATTTATCTTCTCATGTACTAGATACGATACATCCTGAGTGTAGTGCCTTGATAGTTTCTCTCCTGTTGTTTTCACGGGGTTAAATTCACCTATAATTTTGTTTGAGATGATTCTGTAGCACATACAAGTTAATTGACTTTTGAATTCACTTTTTAAAATAGGCATCTTTTAAAATTAGGCGGTGGGGAGGGGGGTATCTCTAGTGGGAAGAAGTTTTTTTCCTAATTTTTAGTGGCTTTATTTCAGGTATTTGTATTAAAACTCTTTACGTGTTGCAGTGAAATTAGGGATGTTTGCCTCTCTTCCTCCATTATTGCAATTAGGAATTTAGCATCATCAGTGCCAAAGGACAAAAGTGTCTCATTTGCCCTATGGGGACAGGACAGTGATAAGATGATTTTTCGTCAAGGATCATTGGGTCGTAATTAAGTTACATTCATGGCTATTGCTTTTTGAAGGATGATTGGTAAATGACAGGCTTCATGTGCTTGGTACGGACAGTGTTCACTAGGGTTTTTTCTCCCTCTGTCAGAAAATCCTGTTGAGTCTGATAATGTAAATGTGGCATTTTATTCTGAACAAAAGAGCAGGGAAATGAGCTATCTTGTCTAATCATTCAGTTGTTTAACACCGACTTCCAGTTTAGACTCAATTGGCTGGAAAGCACTTGACATGTGAAGTTAGTGCTGTTCGGAACGCATGTTTGAGTAAATTTTAAAGTAAGTGACAGCTAAATTGTACCTAGGGAAATTACAAAGCCTTCAACACAGTTAATTTTTTGGGGAGGATTAGTTGTAATTGCAACACCAGTCTCCTTGAAGATTCCTTAGTATAGCAAATGAACAGAAAAACATTTAGCTCTTTCAAGAGCCCGTTCTCTTTTAACAGAATAATTTTTGTAAAGCTGATTGTACCTTGCTGAATTGACTTCCCTCCACACTAACATCTGCTTCAGATTTGTAGAGAGGGATTTGTTTTACTAGTCTACCCTCCACCCCCCCCAGAGTCCTTTTCTACCTCTCTAGTGATTTCAGGTTTGAGAGCTTTTCAATCAGTAAACCCCTTAGGTAAATTGCCACTTCACTAAAGCTTTATGCATAATGTTGCAGCACTTCATTCCAATTAAAATCAATATTTGGAGTCTTATTTTTATCAGGCAGACTCTCTGGTTGGGAAAGTTGTTTATTACAAGTAAAAGGGTTAGATTTAGTGCTGCATTCTTGAAGCAAGATGGGAGTGGCTTGTTGAAATTGAAGGGGGATGTTACATCCATGCATGTTATAGCCAGTCCTGCCACAGAGTGTGTTCTGCAAATATTCAGGCATCTGAGCAATTTTGTCTCTTGAAACAGCTTTGTGTAAGTAAAACTGCCCATGCAGGTAGTTTTAGATATTGTGCCCAGCAGTATCTTGAACATCATAGGCATCCTAAAGAGAAACCAAATGAACCCACAAACTAACAGCATCTTCACCCCAGCACAATGTGATTGAGAAATAACTCCAAAGCAGGACTCTTCTGGAATTACATGAGGGCTGAGCATAATACAGTGATGACTAAGGCCTCTTCTGTCATTCAAAAATAATAGTATATCTTCTTTTTAAAATAACAAGTTTCAGTGAGAGGGAACAATACACCTAATCTTTAAGTGGAACAGGTATTAGCCCTGGACAAATAGTATTTGTGAGTAACTTAAAGCTGTAGTATCTGGCCAACGCAAAATGAAGCATGGATCATCTGTGTTCACATTTTAAATGCTATTTTGTCCAGAATGACACTGGAAATCAGATTTTGCCAACATGGCTATGAGTATATGGGTTTTATCTCTTTTTTTTTGTCTTAGGAATTTTGGACCAGGCTTTCATTTCAGTGCTGTAGTCAGTATCCTTTGGAAAGATAAAAAGGTTTTTACCGTGCACAAGTTCTTACAGAAAGACTGCTAAATAGTATGTATTGGCTGTTAGTTAGCTTAAAGTCCTCAAGTCTAAATACATTTTCTTAAAACTGAAGTCTTTTTTTTTGCAGGTTTTGGTTTGGTTTGTTGTTTTTTTTAATTAGTTATAACAAAATCATTAACATGTTACCCACGCTCAAAATTTGAAGCCCACAGTAAGTTCCTGATTTTCCTTTTCATTCATTTGCCAACAGGATTGTAAAAACTGGTTACAGAAGTAGTTGCCAGTACTTACTTGGAATTAACTGCAGCTTGTGACAGTTAAGAAATGCTGTGAATAGTTGAACAAATAATATTAACTGAAGTGCAAGCATAAGCTTGTTTTTTTCTTTGCGGTGGTAGTATGAATAATTTTTTTGTAGAGGCTGAATTTCTACACCTTTCATTGTTTTATAGTTGGTTATTGCCAGTTTTGTCATTCATCAGTTTTATAAACCTTGTTCTCTAGTAAACGGTGAATGACTCATTGGTTGCTTGAATGCAACTGGACAAATATATCAGATTTCAGTAGATTCAAAACAAATGTCTAGTAAATTGGTGTGTAAGATACTGACCCCCTTAAACGCAGATTTACTCAGCCACCTTTGAGCAATAAGTACTAGTATTTCCATTTTTATCTCTGTTCTCTGCTGACATTTTTCTCTGAATATACAGTATTAATGCCTTCAGAAGTATACATTTAGAGGCTAGAAAACTGTTAATGTTCCTGTTTGAATGGCATTCTGATTATTCATTCATTTATTGATAGCTTGTGACCTAAAAACAGTCACTTTAATCCTTTAGGTATACAGCCAAGACAATACTATGGCTGTTAAAGGATCAATCTGAAAAGCTAGATTTATCACTGAAAACTTTAATTTGAATGTATAAATGTTGTTGTGCCTCCTTAGAAATTGAGTAGTTTTCTGTAAAGCTGGGTTTGGTTTGGGTTTTTTTTTTTAGATGTTAACTGAACTTGCATCTAAAGCAGGAGAAAAATACTGATTATATAAAGCTTTATATCTGTCTATGGTAACTACCATAGTATTTCTCTTTTATGACAGTAATCTAGCCTGCAACATCTACTTGCAGTTTTGAAATTAACCTGTAATTTAGTCTTCACCCCAAATGACAAAAATTCAAATGACTCCATGGGGTGCCAGAAGATGCACTGTAAACAGGGCTCGGTAAGGGGGATAAGGTAGAAATCCATCATCTGAGCTTCGTTTTCAGAATGCCAGTATTACTGAACAAAATTAATTCTTCTGCGGTTTAGTATTTTTTTTTATTTTTTTTTTTTTACATATTAGCCTAAGTGAAGATTGTAGTATTTTGTGATCTAGATATTTCATTCTTTGAAAAAAGCAAAATTTGTGCTGCATAAGAGATGCAGTGGGAGGACATCTGAATTTGGCTTGTTTTAGCAATAGTATCTCAATTTGTTGAGGCTCAGTTGATCAATAAGAAGTTGCTTCAGGAATGCAAAATCATTATTTCAAGTCAGTTTTATTATGGCCTTCAGCTGTTGCTGCTGAGTGGTTTTATTATTATTTTTAAAAATTCTTTATTCTTTATTATCTTTTATTCAGTAAGCATTTTAAAATCTAACTTACACTGTTGTGAACTCTTTGGCTACTTACTATATTTCATGCATGTCGTTTTGCTTTGTTTCAGTTTCAGTTCAGACCTTCCCCTTCAAAGAATAACTTCAGATACTGTTTTACCAGTGTTCCAGTGGGTGCCTTCTATTGGTTTTGGGTTGGATTTTTGGTTGCTTTGGAGGGTTTTGGTTTGTTTTTTTTTCTTTTTGGGTTTTTTTTTTAGCTATAGTTGCAGTCCTTTATAAAAGGGTCTGAAGCAGATGATTTAGTTCTGTTAGTTGCACGGTAGATAAAGTTGATTTGTATTTGTTGTTATTTTAAGTTCCAGATCTGATTGTTTCTATGGCTTTGCAGGTTTGCATTTTAGCTGTAGATACTTCTGAAGGTGTTTATAGGTGGGTTAAAAATTAAGCAAAGGACTGACATAAGAAAAATGGAAATACCATGCTTCTTACTGGTACTTAACTGCTCAAAGGCTCCTGAATAAGCGCATTTAAGGAAGTCAGCATCTTGCACACTAATTTACTGGTACTGTGGGCATATAATAGTGCTGTGGCTCTATGTGACACAGGCCAGCATAAAATACATTTTGGTACCTTAATATATTGTCGAATTATTTGTAAAAAATACATGCCCAAAAATCCAATATACATTGGATTCATAACTTTATACAGAACAGAAGAATGCTAGCCCCTCAATTATGATGAAATGGAAATCAACAGATTATTTACAGCTAGTCCATTAAGGTGTAAAGCAAATGCGAAGGAATCTGAAGAGAGCTGTGGTTATCTTGCTTGAATCTGGAGATATGTACTGAAATAAAAAATCTTAGAATTTGGAAAAATTTTAGAGTGCTTAAAAATTAAAAACATCTAAACAGACATTTGGAAGTAATATAATATGCACAATATTACTTATTACAAAAAAAAATAGAACTCTTAAATGCAAACTGGAATTTCCATAGAATTGGGGTTTTGTCACAGTAATACATAGCAGAACTTAAATTTTACTTCAGAAGTGCATCTAATGATGAGCAACGTTCACACCTTTGTTTACTTTGCAGTGAATAGTGGTGATTCCATCAAAGGTTTAAGCCAAAAGGTTTCAGCATAAATCTGTAGCTTGTTTTCATGTCTGTGTTTGTCAAGCGTACATCGCATTTGTTTGTAGGAAAACTTCTACCTATAACTTAAAAATAACAGTAGCATATTGGTGGGGAAATACACTCTTGGATTATAGACTGTGGGATGAGTTTTCCTTGGAATTTTCAAGACTGAAATGGGTTCAGCATGCACTGCTCCTGCTTGTGATGTTTGATTGTTTCTACTCTTGTTTTATTTCATTCCACAAGGGATGACATGCCTGCGGCTCTGGAAGCTTTAATCGACTGTTATAAGAAGTATGGTAAAGTTCTTCAGCTCCATAACGTCTACTGTAGACTCATAGAAAAAGGAGACTCTGATCTTCTGCAGAAGGGTTAGTTGCATGTAGTCAAATGCTGCCTGATTATATAGGGTGTATTCTGGAGGCTTTTTGTTCCAGGATCTGTATATCATTTCTTTCAACTGAAATAAAAAAAAAATGGTGGGTGTTTATATGTGTAACTTTAAAGCACCTGCTGCCTACATTGTTCAGATTGAAACTTGATATTAATTTTAAATGCGGAGAACTAGAATGTTCGGATAATACAGCATCAAACTTTCCAAGATGAGTGCTAATACTTGTTCTAGTTGTGTATATTATTATGAAGAAACAACTCAATAGTAACAATAGTAAAACAATCCAATTTTCAAATAGTTGTGCAGTTAAGATATCCTGTATCCTCACTCTCTACAAGCAGAGAGAGAATGCCAATAGATAGTCTGTTTTATTGAATGCAATTCAAAATACTTTGCAGATAAATATTCAATTGCAAAGCTACAACAAATTGTGTAATATGTTGCAATAATTCCATATGTTTCAAAATTTATCTCTCTATGGCTTATTCTTTGAGGTTTGAGGTGCTTGGAAAAGGCTGGTATTAACAAAATCTGATGTATGTATTAAAAAGCGTCAATGTTTTTAATAAACTCATCAGTTTTATTCTCTCTTCAGTTACAGATTTTATAAGCAGAGAATATGGTGACATGATGGCTCTTTATGACCTCTTCTTCGCCTTCTTGCAAACAGGAAAATACAAAGAGGCCAGGAAGGTTATTGAGGTGGGATTTTAAATGTAGTACTCTAATAGTGGAGCTATTTAGACTCTTAATTAGAAATATTTAAAGTTTTTAACCTTTAATTAGACTTGTTCTGATTCATGTTAATAGAATTCAATCCCAGTAATTAAAAAAACCCTCAACCAGCTTTATGTTGTATAATCACAGTTCAGAAGAGAATGAGTCTTGTTGTATATTGAAATTGTTTCCTCACTTTTTCAAAATTGCTGTTATTTATCAAAATGATATTTGCATATTAAATATCGGATTGTGGAACAATTAAATTAAACTGGCATTCCTGGGTGTAAAGTTGTTAATCCTCTTTCCGAAGGAATTCTTTGTTCTTAAAAGCACTGGAATTTAATTTGCTGCAGACCATGCTCAGATTTATTTGTAATGCTTGTCTACAAGTTAATCAGCCAAACAAGCGCTGTCTGCTACTGTTTGGCATTTAATTTAGCATTTCTTCTCTCTCTCTCTTTTCAGGATAGTAAGCAGCTTATAGGAAGTGGTAGGTGACAAACTTGGTCTATTTAGGATTAGTATATTTTATCTAGACTTGATTGAAATTGTGCTTACTGAAATTGATAAGTCAAAGGGGCAGCTGCAGAGTCTGCCCAGATTGTGATTATTTTTCTTCTTAACACAGTTGTATGTTTTCAAAAGGCTGCATAAGTTTTCTAGTTAACGTCTGGAAAGAGACATCTTGCAGAAATAGTACTTTATCCTCATTGGTTTTGTCATATACATATATGTATACATATACTACTCTAACCTAATTTGGAGGGGTTTTTTCCTTAAGACAAAGTATGCTTTTTTCCCAATTCCCCCTAGAATATTTGAAATACCAGTTATCCCTAATTGAATTATCTAATAGAATTCTTGCTTTTAAAAAACCTTAGCTGAGTATCTGCTTGTTTGTCTGCAGTAGACCAGTACAGTCCTGCTTGGGGTGTGTGGAAACTGCTAAGCACAGTGTTAAAGCATTGACATTTTTGTCTGAAGTTCTTTTGGAGCTTGAAGTCTTATAATACAGAAGAATAGAAGTAGTATCTGACAGAAGGTGACACTGAGGAATTGAGTTCGTTTTATAATTATTAAAGCATATAGGAGGTAAAAGGATGAAATCTGGTATTTGGAAGTAAAATCAAGTGAGTAAAACTGGTACTTGATGTGATATAGCAGCTGTTTCCTTGATACTGGCATTTAATGTCTCAAAATTGGTGGTGACAGTTCAACAGTCAAGTGGGATAGTAAGCAAATAATTGAATTGTTTGGGCTTTGAAACTTTCCTCATTTTCTTATTAGGTGCCAAATTATCTCTGCAAATACTCAGTATCTGGTGATTAATCATAAATTATTGCTAATCACAAGCAGACACTTAAGTGTAAATCTGAACACCTGGTATCCGGAGACTAAATTGAAGTTTTTGTTGCTTTTTATGCATTTTGTAGTAGGTTTTCTTGCTCTCAACAGAATTCCATTAAGTATGAATTAGTTTAATATATGCTGTTGAGAAAAAAGGTTTTAAATTCTGGAATTTTTAGGACTATAGGAATTTAGGTAGGAAAGCATGTATGTATTTTACCAGTGGATAAAGCAGTGCAGAATCAATTACTATAAATTGTTTCATAAGTACACATTTATTATGTAACAATACATTAAGTATTTTCAAATACTTTTTTTCCACAGGTAGGGGAACCTTAAAATTAGTTTTTTGCTGAATGGGAAAATAGCTTTTTTTTTTGTTTAAACCATTAGCAAGTTACTGTTTACTTTTCTGTGTGTTGCGAAGTTAAAGCCGTAATCGGTATAACGTGGAAGATGGAGTACAAGCTGTATGTGTATCCTCTTCTTTAGTCCAGTGTTTTTTGCAGCTTTATTACTTCTGCTGTTGGTAGTCTCAGATTGTTATTCTATTTTCCTTTCTTGTGAAATTAATATTCAGGGAAAGTGATCAGTTGGTACTGCTTTCTCTTTCTAGATAATGTTGAATGTTAGGCATAGATTACCTTTCAGCGCATACTTCTATCATATATTACTGAATACGGTGGTCAGTTGCTTTTAGTGATACCATTTATTTTCAAAGTATCTACAGAGTTAAGAGTATCTAAAAGTAATGGAGCTGGAAATAAAAATTTCCATAGGAGCTGCAGAAATGAAGACCACAGAGGATATAGTCATTTAAATGGGGTTTTACTCATTGGGAGACCACTGCCTCTGCTTGCACTTGCTATTTTTAGAAATCAGAAGTACACTGGATGCTTGTATGAAGCATTGTGGCAACCTCTGCTTTAAAAAACTTGAAACTCAGAGTCCCAGGAATAAGAAGATGACGCTTGTGTCTCAGCCTTTGGTAAAGTACAATTGGGTTGTAATAGTGGGAAATAAGAAGGGTAAGATTTGAGTGAGATTATAAAAATTAGGTCACATTTGTGTATGTACATTAACAGGTCACAGGTGTGCTGTGCATGAGTATATATATGGCATAGTGTCATAGCAAGAAAGCTGAAAGCTCTGGAGCTCATCTACTTGTTGGAAGGACATCAAGACTAAGTAGAGAATGATAGTATAAAAGATGATGAAAGGTGAATAGAAAGCAGATGAAGCAAAGAATGCACCTGACCAAACTAGAACAAGTAAACTGAATAGTTTGCTAAGTTTGATGGTGTAAGTCTATTGAAGTGATGCTAAGTGGAAGAGAAGCTGTGATTGAGAATGCTGTTGTGGGGCAGGAAATTGGAACTAGGTTGTTAAGGCTTCACAGAGTGATTAGTAAGGTAATGGTTTTTACAATGTTGCTTGACTGCCTTCTTAAGCTTTTGAAAGTCTGTTCTTGTTCTGTGGCAGTCAGCTACAGAAGAAAGCCGATCTGAAAGACAGTACTTCCAGATGAGGTACCCTTGGCTCTTCTGTAAAGAGTCTGTTTTATTCTAGCTGTGCCTGGAGATTCCTGAGCCCATTAAGTTATGCTGGTAGATGGATGTGTTGGTGGATGCTCTTTTGTTTTCCACTGGGAACATGCTCGATCATTGGGTGCTGTAGTACACCAAAGCATGATTTATTCTTCAGTTCTTATTTGCACATCAGTGGATAAGTTAGCTTTTGTCTTGAGTCCTTCAAAGGTGATCATGTCAAAACCAAGTTGGCACACCTCTGTCCTTGCTCCTTAAGGTAACTTAAGGTCACATACTAGCTCGCTTTTCCTTGGAATGTTACACCACCTTTGAGGAATGTACTTCTCCCTTCACCTGCTACTCTTCTTCTCTTTGCGTGATGCATGGAGGTTTAAAGATTTCACTGCCTAAAGCAGTTAGAATGTAGTTCTCTGTCATTTTGGCCCAGTTTTAATTATTTGTCCATCTCTCAATTTTGCACTGAGATCTCATACTTGTAGCTGTTTCATCTGCATGATGGTTGAGTATTTTGAGACTCGCCCTATTTTCATTTATTATTCATGCTGAATGCAATTATGAAAATACTCTCTTAATCTGTGTATAATTAAATCCCTGTCCACGCTTGGCTCTTTCTTTTAGAGTTACAAGACTTATGATTAAGTACTGTGTAGTCCTGCAGCAGAGTTTCAAGCAAGCCCTCCTGTAAATCTGCTTCACAAAAGCCTAAACCATGTTTTCGTGGTAGAAGTGAACACTCTGCACCTGTGGCTAAAGTATGCAAGGTTTTAAACTGGTGTCAAATCCATTTCTGCACTGATAAAATTGATAAGAGCAAGCACCACTTTAAAAAACGGCACCAGATCACTGGCATTTTTAGTTGGGAGCATATGGTCTCCTGTGGTAGGAACTGAGCTGGTAGAAATGTTCAGCTGTCTTTTGTTTGACAGTTCTTGAAATCTTTCTAGATCAAATCACATTAGCTATTAAAATTGTTTCTTCAATGAAAGAGTAAAGCTGTTGGTCTTGCTCTGTAGTTTTACTAGAAATGAAGGTTAAGAGAGGATATCTGTATTTGGGATATAGGGAAAGATACAGGGATATAGGAAAGGACTGAATAGCAAATTTTTTTGGTAGAAGACCAGCCTGTACAAGTTTGTTACCACTAGAAGAACCTCCCTTGGCAAAATGGCAATGTATAATGCATGGCTTAAGAATTGTTTTAACTGGATTTTAAGTGTGATACTTTCCTCTCTTTCTGCTACTTTTTGCTCTTATAGCAAATGTGTCATTTATATTTAATAGTTAAATATTATACCATATCTCAAGACATTTATGTTAAGAAATAAGGGACAGATGGCTGTGAATTATTTTAATGAAATGTGTTCCAATGTGAATAAATGCAACAAAAGGTATTTGCTTCTGAAATTCAAGGCTTGACAGGAGAACTGTTTTGGGTGAGTTTACTGTACAGGAATATATCTATCAACAGATGTCAAGTTAATTCAGGAGGTAAATAGATTTAAGCAAAGAATTGTGACATCCACTGTCAGCAGACCTCAAGATACCAGTTGCCACTGGATTTAATCTACCATTAAAAACAATGAGAATATTTCTATTTGCTATTGAGAGATTACGATCATCTTTCTTCCAGATTGCTTTTTTTTTTTTTTTTTTTATTTTAAGAATCTTCATCATAAAATTGAGTCTTCCTGATCTTATGCTGGAGATAAACTAGGGGGAGAAGATGCTTTCTTGATGTGTGACAGCAGGATTTAGTTTGTGGAGGTTTAGGTGAAATTTTGTGGTGGGTATATCTGGTGTCTGAATTTACCTAGACAGACTTATTTTTGGTCCTGTTGAGGAAAGGGTTGAGATGATTGGAACTAAATTTAAATATCTGTGAATGTTGAATGCAAATTGCATTAGGTAACAGTGGTCTGAGATTGAGGAGTAGTTTGTAGGGGGTGTAGTAGCTTTTACGACAGTATCTGTATATGACTGAGGGAGGGGAAAGGCTGAAGAGCTTTCAGGCACGCAAGCCCTGGAACTACAAGAAAAGTCTTTAATTTTCTTTTTCTTACTGTTGGGTCCTATTAGTCTTAATAA